TGTGGATGTTGTAGTGGGTGTGGGCTGGGTTTTGTGGTGCGCGAGTGGGCTGGATGTTGCGGTGGCTTTGGTGTTGATGTTGTGGTGGGTGTGGTGTGGATATTGTGGTGGATGTTGATGTTGTGGTGGGTGTGGGCTGGATGTTTTGGTGGGTGTGGTGTGGATGTGAATGTTGTGGTGGTGTGGTGTCGATGTTGTGGTGGTGTGTATGTGAATGTTTTGGTTCGTATGGTGTGGATGTTGTGGTGGGTGTGGAATGGATATTGTGGTGGGTGTGGTGTGGATGTGAATGTTGTGGTGGTGTGGTGTAAATGTTGTGGTAGTGTGGATGTGAATGTTGTGATGGTGTGGTGTGGATGTTTTGTTGGTGTGGATGTGAATGTTGTGGTGGTGGTGTGGATGTGAATGTTGTGGTGGTGTGGTGTAATGTGAATGTTGTGGTGGTGTGATGTGAATGTTGTGGTGGTGTGGATGTGAATGTTGTGGTGGTGTGGTGTCCATGTAAATGTTGTGGTGGTGTGGATGTGAATATGGTGTTGGTGTGGATGTGAATTTTGTGGTGGTGTGATGTGAATGTTGTGGTGGTGTGATGTGAATGTTGTGGTGGATGTGGATGTGAATGTTGTGGTGGTGTGGTGTGAATGATGTGGTGGTGTGATGTGAATGTTATGGTTGTGTGGATGTTGTAGTGGTGTCATGTGGATGTTGTGGTGGTGTGATGTGGATGTGAATGGTGGGATGTGAATGTTGTGGTGGTGTGGATGTGAATGTTGTGGTGGTGTGGTGTGGATGTGGATTTTGTGGTTATGTGATTTGTATGTTGTGGCAGTGTGGTGTGATGTAAATGTTGGCTGGATGTTGAGGTGGGTGTGGTGTTACATGTTGTAGTGGAGTGTGGTGTGGATGTGAATAATGTTGTGGTGGGTGTGGGCTTGATATTTATAGATGCGTGTGGATATTGTGGTGAATATGGTGTGGATATTGTGGTAGGTGTGGGCTGGATATTTAGTGGTGGGTATGAGTGTGGATATTGTAGTAAGTTTGGAACAACTAGCTATTTGTGGTTAGTGTGAATTATGGATGTTGTAATTAGGTGTTGTATGGATAACTTGTACTGGATATGATATGGATGGTTATGGATGTGAATATTGTGAATTATTGTGTGTATTTATTAGTGTGGATGTCCAATATTGTGGTAGTGTGGTGTGATCTGAATATTGTGGTAGTGTGGATATGAATATTTGTGAGTAGTATGGATGTGAATATTTATGGTGTTGTGTTGATGTGATATGAATATTGTAGTGAGCCAAGGATATGACTATTGTAGTGATATGGTGTGGATATGTAATTATGGATGTAAGAAATGTTGTGGTAGTGTGGATGTGAATATTTGTGGTGTGTGTGGATGTATTATGAATATTGTTTGTAGTATTTTGTGAATATTGTGGTGTGGTGTGTATTGAATATTGTGGTGGTGTGATATGAGATATTTGTAGTAGTTTAGATATGAATATTGTGGTAGTGTGAATATGCCAGATATTGTGGTGAGTGTATGGTATGCTTGTGAATATTGTGGTAGTGTGGTATGGATATTTATGGTAGTGTGATATAGGCATTGTGGTATGAGAGTATGAATATTTAAGTAATTATTAGTGTATGAAGATATTGCCTTAGTAGTGTGGATATAAATATTTGTGTGGATATAAATAATTGTAATATGCGTGTGGATATTTGTGGTAGTATAATGTGGATATTTGTGGTAGTATAATATGAGATATAAGATATTTATGGTAGTGTGATATGAATATTTATGGTAGTGTAGTGTGGTGGAAAATGTGCAAGCTAAGATATTTGTGGTAGGTGTGGTGTGGAATTTTAGTAGTGAAATGTGGACTGGATATTGTTGAAATTATGGTATGGATAGTATAGATATTGTAGTAGATTATGGAGGCTGGATATTGTAGTAGGTATGAATATTTATGGTAGAGTATGAAGGCTTGTGATATTTATTTGTGGAAATTATTGATATTTATGCTAGAGTGTGTTTGTAATTTAATTAATAGGAGTTAAGATGTTGTAGTGGAGTTTATTGTGTATATTGTAGTAGGTATTAGCTAGGATATTATAGTGGATTGTGGAATATTTATGGTATGTATGAGCTAGATATTTATTTGTGGAAATATATGCTACTGGATATTTAGTAGTATAGTATGTAGTATTGATATTTATGGTAGGTGTGGTAATGGATATTGTAGTAAGAGTATGAATCTGGATATTGTAGTGGAAGTGTTAGCTGGAATATTTGTGAGTAGGTGTAAAGTATTGGATATTGTGGAGTAATATAAGCTGGATACTATGGTAAAATGGAGCTGGATATTGTATAAGTTGAAGTGTATGATATTTGTAGTAGAATTATGGTATGGATATTATAGTGGTTTGAGATATGGTAGGTGTAGGCTGGATATTTATAGTAGGTATGAATTGTGGATGTGGAATGTTGTGGTAAGGTATGGATATTGTGTGTGTAGAGCTGGACTATTATTGTATGTAATGGTAGTGTGGATATGAATATTGTGTAATGATTAGATATTTGTAGTAGGTATGGAGCTGGATTTTGTGAATGCTTGCCCGTAGAGCTGGATATTCTGCAGTAGCTTTAGTGTTGTTGATATTTATGGTGGGGTATGGTGTGGATATTGTAGTAGATATTGATATTTATGGTGAAATTGTGGGCTGGATATTTATGGTAGAGTGTGGTGTGGATATGAATATTGTAGTAATTGTGGTATCGATGTTGTGGTGGTATGTATGTGAATATTTTGGTTCATATATTTGTATGGATATTTGTGGTAGGTTGTGGAATAAGATATTGTGGTAGGTATGGTGTGTGAATGTAGAATATTGTGGTAGTGTGGGTATAAAATATTTGTAGTAGTGTGGATGTGAATATTTGTGATAATTATGGTGTGGATATTTTGTTGGTGTGGATGTGAATATTGTGGTAGTGGTGTGGATGTGAATATTGTGTAGTGGTGTATATGTAATATGAATGTTGTGGTAGTGTGATGTGAATATTTGTGGTAGTGTGGATATGAATATTGTGGTAGTGTGGTGTCCATATAAAATGTTGTGTAGTAGTATGTGGATATGAAATATATTGTTAGTATGTGGATGTGAATATTTGTGTGGTAGTGTGATGTGAATATTGTGGTAGTGTGATGTGAATATTTGTGGTGGATATGGATATGAATATTGTGGTAGTGTAGTGTATGAATGAATGTGGTGGTGTGATATATGAATATTATAGTTGTGTGGATGTTTGTAGTAGTGTCATGTGGATGTTGTGGTAGTGTGATGTGGATATGAATAGTTAGGATATGAAATATTTGTAGTGGTGTGGATATGAATGTTGTGGTGGTGTGGTGTGGATGTGGATTTTGTGGTTATGTGATTTGTATGTTGTGGCAGTGTGGTGTGATGTAAATATTGGCTGGATGTTGAGGTTAGGTGTGGTGTGCATGTTGTGGTGGGTGTGGAAACTGATGTTATGGATGCGTGTAGATGTTGTGGGTAGGTATGGTGTGGATGTTATGGTGGAGTGTGGAGCTGGATGTTGTATGGTGGGTGGGTGTGGATGTTGTGGTAGGTTTGGGCTGGCTGTTGTGGTTGGTGTGGTGTGGATGTTGTGGTGGGTGTGGTGTGGATATTGTGCTGGATGTGATGTGGATGGTGTGGATGTGAATGTTGTGGTGGTGTGGATGTGAATGTTGTGGTGTGGATGTCAATATTGTGGTGGTGTGGTGTGATGTGAATGTTGTGGTGGTGTGGATGTGAATGTTGTGGTGGTGTGGATGTGAATGTTGTGGTGATGTGGTGTGTGGATGTTGTGGTGGTGTTGATGTGAATGTTGTGGTGGTGTGGATGTGACTGTTGTGGTGATGTGGTGTGGATGTTGTGGTGTGGATGTAAGTGTTGTGGTGGTGTGGATGTGAATGTTGTGGGTGTGTGGATGTGATTGTTGTTTGTGGTGTTTTGTGAATGTTGTGGTGTGGTGTGGATATTATGGTGGTGTGATGTGAATGTTGTGGTGGTTTGGATGTGAATGTTGTGGTGGTGTGAATGTGAATGTTGTGGTGGTGTGGTGTGCTTGTGAATGTTGTGGTGGTGTGGTGTGGATGTTGTGGTGGTGTGATGTGAACATTGTGGTGGTGTGAATGTTGCGGTGGTGTGGTGTGAATGTTGTAGTGGTGGGATGTAAATGTTGTGTGGATGTAAATGGTGTGGTGTCGTGTGGATGTTGTGGTGGTATGATGTGGATGTTGTGGTGGTGTAATGTGGATATGAATGTTGTGGTGGTGTGATGTGAATGTTGTGGTGGTGTGGTGTGGTGGGTGTGGGCTGGATGTTGTGGTGGGTGTGGTGTGGATTTTGTGGTGAGTGTGGACTGGATATTGTTGAGGGTGTGGTGTGGATGGTATGGATGTTGTGGTGGGTGTGGGCTGGATGTTGTGGTGGGTGTGGATGTTGTGGTAGGTGTGGGCTTGATGTTGTTGTGGGTGTTGATGTTGTGGCGGGTGTGTTGTGGTTGGTGTGGGTTGGATGTTGTGGTGGGTTTTGTGTGTATGTTGTGGTGGGTGTTGGCTGGATGTTATGGTGGGTGTGGGCTGGATGTTGTGGTGTGTGTGTGGATGTTGAGGTGTGTGTGGGCTGGATGTTGTTTGTGGGTGTGGGCTGGATGTTGTGGTGGGTGTGGTGTTGATGTTGTGGTGGGTGTGGTGTGGATGTTGTGGTGGGTGTAGTCTGGATGTTGTGGTGGGTGTTGGCTGGATGTTGTGGTGGGTGTGGTGTGGATGTTGTGGGTGTGGGCTGGATGCTGTGGTTTTTGTGGTGTGGATGTTGTGGTTTTTGTGGGCTGGATGTTGTGGTGGTTGAGGTTCGGATGATATGGTTGATGTGAACAGGAATGTGGATCTAATCTAATGTCTGCTCTTTTTGTCCAGATTATGAAGAAGCCCATGTCCAGTCGTCAAGAAACATGCAGCGAAGGCCAGATGTACATGCAACATGGAGTCCTCAAAAGTATTTTCCAGGTTTGTAACTGACATACTTTTGTTTCTCAGTGTGGACTCAGAAGCATAAGTAGATGTGATATAGATGTGCTCTTCCAGATAAAACCCATAAAGATCTGGGTTAGAATTGATCTTCAGTAACCCATGCTTGTCGTAAGAGGTGACTAACGGGTTCGGGTGGTCAGGCTTGCTGACTTGGCATATTTTTAATGAATCTCATCAGTCTCATCCTTTGGATGGAGTAAAGTATATGTATGCGATATCAATATCTATTTGCTGCAAATAATGAAGAATTGATGTCTTTGCACATTTGTACAGGCACTAGAATTCTACTTAATGCTACATTACCGTCAGTGGTAGATTGTGGTGTAGCAGGGGGAAGGAATGGTTGTGTGACTAACAGGGAGCTGCTGTGTTTTCAGGGAACCGAGGTGCAGGAGGTGGTTATGGTGGCAGTACAGTGTCAGGCTATGGTGCCCGGAACAGGTCCAGCATTGACCCTGTCCAGCTGAGTGAGGGAGTAAAAGTAGCAAGTGAGAGACACACTGTACATGTAGCACAGATACCGGTACCTCATCTTGTCAACAGCTTCAAGTGACTTGTCTGATATTTGCCTATATATTCTAATGCTGATATTTGCACATAAAATGAAAGGCACAAGATGAGGTTTGAACTTGCTATTTGACAACTGAAACACATGGAGTCAGATTGAAAGTAGTGTTGACATATAGTTATGAGTGACACTCAGTGAGGTTGAAATTCATGCAGTATTTCAGAGATGATACATAGAAATAACAATGGCTACTTCTATGACAGAACAGTGATGTTTCAGTCTTTGGAGTCAGCAGACGTCATTGTTTCAAGATGGCAGACATGCTGCTATAAAATGTCATTTCACTCTAACACCATTGTAGGCATGGCGGACTACCAACCATGAGTATCGAAATGATGATTACATTCCCATTGATTGTGACAGTTAGTTTAACACCGTCACTATGTGAATTCTGAGGAACAATATGGAATATATTCCCCAGTGGAACTGCAGTAGGGCTGACAAATGTTAGGTAGTACTATTATGATTGAGCTGATTGTATGTGTTCCATCATGCCAAGATAACAGTTAGATCTCATGCACTTCATCACTTGAGTGTTTGACCCAGACTTGATTAATCTGGAATTGCCCCAAAACTGTATAGTATAATGTACCACATTCACTCATTGATCAGGATTATATTTTGATATATTTCCATGTCAGATGTGATGAGTAACCTGGACTCCACCATCAACCACTATGACCCCTACAAACATGGTAAGGACAGTACTGATAGGCTCAGAGTATCAATATCATTTTATAACAATCCAAAATTGTGATTATTTTGGGCTTCATTATCTAATGACCTCCATGTGTCTTTCAGGCAAGAGCATGACATTAAATTGAATCAGCTTACCTAATTGCTGAATTGTTAAGAAATGTTTCCTTATTTGTATGGTTAGAGGTCAAGAAGTGTCCTTCAGGTTGACCTTGGATAATAAGTGTCATCAGTTGAATACCAAGGTCATAAATTACTGTTAATTATCACGGGAGACAATTTGTGTGAATCTGCTCTGACATCAGTTACAGCACTGTAGCATCCCAAAATCAGTTCCCTTCCACAGCACTCCAGACAATATTTTAAGCCAATGAGTATTATAACTCTCACATTATCATTTATTAGCTATAGAATTATTTTTAGATTAAAGATACATTTCACCCTTTTGGGTCCAATATCTTAATACTTTAAGATAAGTGAGTACAGTAGACATATATTTCTCCTCAAGTGTTTTACATATTGCTTGGTGTCATTAGTCCCCTTGCTTATCACAAGAGTGAGTGAGTGAGTTGGGTTTTATGCCACTTTTAGGAATATTCCAGTAATATCACAGCAAGAGACACCAGAAATGGGCTTCACACATTGTACCCATGGGGGCAGTGGGGTAGCCTAGTGGTTAAAGCATTCGCTTGTCACGCCGAAGACCCGGGTTCAATTCCCCACATGGGCAAAATGTGTGAAGCCCATTTCAGGTCCCCCTCCCTGATATTGGTGGAATATTGCTAAAAGTGGCGTAAAACCATACTCACTCACTCATTGTACCCATGTGGGGAATTGAACCCGGGTCTTGAGTGTGACGAGTGAATACTTTGACCACTGGGCTACCCCCCACCAACTTGTCACAAGAGGCAACTACTGGATTGAGTGGTCAGACTCACTGACCAGGTTGATGCTCAGGATGTCTAGCACTGGACGACAATGTGTTCCAGACTTGACAGGTTTCTGAGTGCCACTTTACACAGCAAACAAAGGGGATATATTAATTTCACAATAGGAAGATAGTAAATAACAACAAGCAAGACTCTTGTGCATTATTCTGTTCAGTAAAGTTGCATGTATTTGAGGAGTAAACACAAGTATATAAGCTGACAAGACAGCAGGTGAATACTCACATTGTTGTGATGCTATTTTATTTCATGCACATGCATGAGATAAACTCAGGTGGTAAACTTTATCTTGTCACAGGTTACAATCGGCGGGGCAGAAATGAAATCGATGAAGGTAGGTACAGTAGACAAACACCTCTACAACTAACTGAATGGTCGGTTCCAACCAGCAAACTTGAGGGTTTCTTTAGCCTCGCTGTGGTCTGTTGCTCATGACGTTCACCACTAGATTGTTACTGGGCAGTTGTAATGAAAACTGTTCCAGTCTCAATCAATTAACATCAACAAGACCTGACAAGCATTTACATTTTAGGACCCTAGAATAATCTTGTACCTTTGATCAACTTACACACTTACCTATCCAGGACAATTATTAGTTAAAGTAATACTCCTTTCTAAAGGTTAATTTATCCTGTAGCTATGTAAAGTTAATCAGAAGAATCTACTTGAACACTTCATTGATTACCAATGACATACCATGACAAATCATGATGTGAATTGTTGTGTTAGTCAGTATTGATGTGTACCTTGCTATGGTAAACAAGCTTGGCAACTGTGTCCAAATATGAAGTTTTCCTGGTCATATGACCTAGGCGTCTTGTAGACAGCAAACCGACACAGTGAGAGAGCTATGTCCAGTGTCACTTTCAGCCTCATTCTCTGACCAGGGGTGCAGACTGGTTATTGTATAGAGTAATTCTCTGTTGCTTTTGTCACACAATATTAGCATTGCATATCCAGTGTTCACCTATGTTTAGATAGTGGTACTGTACTGCAACAGTGTCCAAAGTTAGCATCTGTTTGTTTCTGTGTTTCAGTTGTCGAGCTTGGACAGGCACCACCCCTTCCCTGCCTTCGTGGTAAGATACAGTTGAATTGGAACAGTAGCGACAGTAGGGTAGAACTGATATCGCCATTGGAGAGACAGTAGGGGCGGTTTCATATATCCATTTGAGAGCCAGTATGGTAGAGGTGATATCTCACCAGAGAAAAAGTAGGATAGAAGTGGCATCTCACTAGAAAACCAATACGGTAGAAGTGACATTTCACTGGAGAGCCAGTAGGGTGGAAGTAATATCTCACTGGAAAACCAGTACGGTAGAAGTGAGATTTCACTAGAGAGCCAGTATGGTAGAAGTGATGTCTCACTAGAGAGCCAGTATGGTAGAAGTGATGTCTCACTAGAGAGCCATTGGGGTAGAAGTGATATCTCACTGGAAAACCAGTAGGGTAGAAGTGATATCTCACTAGAGAGCCAGTATGGTAGAAGTGATGTCTCACTAGAGAGCCAGTAGGGTAGAAGTGATGTCTCACTAGAGAGCCAGTGGGGTAAAAGTGATATCTCACTGGAGAGCCAGTATGGTAGAAGTGATGTCTCACTAGAGAGCCAGTGGGGTAGAAGTGATGTCTCACTAGAGAGCCAGTAGGGCAGAAGTGATATCTCACTGGAGAGCCAGTAGGGTAGAAGTGATATCTCACTAGAGAGCCAGTAGGGTAGAAGTGATGTCTCACTAGAGAACCAGTAGGGTAGAAGTGATATCTCACTAGAGAGCCAGTAAGGTAGAAGTGATATCTCACTAGAGAGCCAGTATGGTAGAAATGATATCTCACTATAGAGCCAGTATGGTAGAAGTGATGTCTCACTAGAGAGCTAGTAGGATTGAGTAAGTAAGACACAGTATGGATTTAGCCCACAGATGACATCCTTACCTTGTCTGCCTGCTGACAGTGTTTACTTCTGTAGCCGTGTCCACGCGGTATCTCAGACATCATAGGAGAAGACCTGGGCTTCAGTTCCAATCAAGGGATTCACTGGTTCAATACCACTTCACATTGTCTCCCAAACAATCAAATCGCAGCACACATTTGTGTGTTTATAGTGAATTACTGGTGTGTTCAGTTTGATCAGGTTTCTGTGTGTTCTCGCTCCAAGAAACATGCAGAAAGTGCTATCGAATAGCCAACCAGTGGTAGCCTTGTATTCTGTAATGGAGGACTGAACATCATGAATCTTACAGGAGTCCAATATCACCATGCATATGTTTATCATGTGAGTCTGTCCCTCCACTGATGATCAAATGCTGTGAGATAACTGAAATACTGTTCAGTCCAAATTTCTCTAACACTGTGACTACATTGGCAGGCCGTCGACAGAGCCAGCCGGTCCTGCACATTACAGCAGACATCAGTACACAAGGTAGTGCCACAGTGGCACAAATTAATTGTTCACCATGCACCCACTCACAAACCTAACTAATTTTCACAGTGCTTGGTTTATGGTTTTGCCAACCTATTAAAAACTTGTGAATTAATCATTTTTTTCTTTTCGGCAAGTCATTACTTTATTGATGATTTAAACTCCATCTGGGGAAAGGAATTACACATGTATATTCCTTGACGTCTTATGAAACTCATTTTCTGTTATTTCATTTTTCAGACTACAGCAAAATGTTTTAGAGATCAATTTAAAGGTTTTTTTAATGTAATGTTTTTGTTTTGGCAACCAATTCTTTGCATATCAATTGTGAACTGTAAACCAAGTGATCAGTAGATATAGATTACTTACAATCACAGAATGGATTATCATGCTTACTAACATCAGATTTCACACTAACTATTTTAGTGAGGTACTAAATTAATAGAGGATATTACATGAGTGCCCATGTCATGCTATGTTTATGACACGAGTGCCTAAATGTTGGTATTTCCTGAGCAAGAGCGATAATATTCTGTTTATTACCGAAGCTGTCAAATTGAGGAAATTAAATCTACTTTTAAACATAGGCTGGCTACCCGCCATCACCAAATGTAGACCGCAACGTCATAGAAGAAACGTGACATCATAGCATTGTTCATGACATCACATCACCATGACAAAGTGATATTTTGCCCTAGGGCATCGTATGAAAAATATGAACCCCGATATTTTCGCCCTTGTAGGTAATTAACAAGTTTCTTATGTTATCATGTCTCAGGGAAAGGTAGATGAGTTGAAATAACTTATCAACCCATGTGATGGATTTGAAATTGTTTTGTCACAAGACATGGTTGTCAGTCAAATTTGTTTCTACTGAACCATCATCTATGTAATTAACACTGGATTTGTTTTTATCACAAATACTCACTTATGGATTGGCTTTACTGTACCAGCTTCTTAAAATTATTAACCAAGAAAGTATGAGTCCCATATTACTTATATTTGGTTACATTCAAATTACTTGGTTTTATGAAAACCTTCAGCCTCAACAACTGTCAGATTGTCATCAGTGTTGAGAATTCTAGCATCACATCCAAGTGACCTCAGGTACAGTTCAAGTGTGTCCAATGTGAAAGTGTTAGAATTCTTGTATCTAATCTATATCTATACTTTAACACTCACAGCCAACAGCAAACCATTAATCAATTAATATAATGCATATGATCTTGCACATGTGAATATCAACTGATCTATTGGTATTTGGCTACGGTACATGCTCAGTACTATCTTTCAGCAATGCTATTTGACTGTATGGGACAGTGATCTATACTGAACAGCAAAAGAAACGCAAGATTTCCAAATGTTATTTCACAGCACCAACATTGGCGGCATCAACAATGGAGGTCGATAGTCTTCTCTGATGAAAGTCGATACTGAGTTTCCACCTTGGATGGCAGAGTGAGAGTGTGGCGTAGGAGGGGTGAATGCTACAGAGATGAATGTGTCATGGAGGGAGACGCGTGGGGTGGTCAAAGCATTATGGTTTGGGGTGCTATAGGCCTGAATCGGAGAACTGGGCCCCATGTGTTCCAAAATGTTGGTGCAAAACGAGGGAATGGCATTACAGTGCAGCGCTACATTGAACAGATCCTAAGACCTCACATCGCGCGTCACCAGAACCACGTGTTCCAGCAGGTCAATGCCCGCAACCCATACAGCCAGAGTCACTATGGACTTCTTACGTCAGCATAACATCAGAACCATGCCATGGCCGGCTCTCAGCTCTGATTTGAACCCCATTGAACACCTGTGGGATGAAATCCAGAGATGGCTGATCCAGGTGGTTCCAAGACCGATAACTCGTGCTGAACTGGAGGCACCTTTCCTCAGAGTGTGGGCACAAGTACCAATGGCTTTCGTGAACAACCTCGTTCACTCCATGTGTATGCCTGTTTTGAACAACCAGGGAGGGCATACCCGGTACTGAAAATGTCCCATCTCCCATGTGCCGGATCCACCGACTACAGCAATACATGAGAATGTGCCATGAACTGGTCAAAGTGTATCTAGGCAAAGGAACTGATAACATTTTACTTTTTCATCTGTGTGGCAATGAAATTAAAACACAGGTTACGATCACCCAAGTCTCGCATTTCTTTTGCGGTTTAGTATATTTAGTTTTTAAAACGAATACATATTTTGGGAAAAGCCTCTCGCTAACACCTAACTACTATTCAGATTGTAACCATGTGGCCAAAATTCAGATGTTTTTGGACAATGGACATTTTTTGAAAGGCGCATTTTGTAATTATATTCATCACTGTAGTTTTTATAATCCTTCTCGGTGGATTGGTTTGTGTCACTTTATAACTATTAGCACACAAAATGTGCTGCTCATATACAAGTATTGTGTTATTTTTCAGATACAAAATATGCTAATTTTGTTCATTATGCATCATTATGATTGCACTTGTGTTCACAACATACTATTATTGCACCAGTACATATTTAATGCATATCTGTATATATCTTGCTGCACACATTACCTCTGTGTATACAGTGTTGTAAATTGTTTTATTTCAGAAACAGATGGTGTATATAGGAACAATTATATGTATTGCTAGGACTGACTGACTGACTGAGTTTACTTTTATGCCGCTTTTTGCAATATTCCAGCAATATCACGGCGGTGTATTGCTAGGAATTGACAGTAAACTTCTCTCTGGATTATGCTTGCCTTTTATCTGTGGGTACCACTGAGACATACAGAAATGGAAATGAAATTAAAACTATCTCATCATTATCCCTAGTGGTATTCCTGTGTAGACAAGAGATTATCTCCCCTTGCTGTGATGTCACAGCACAACTGTTGAAAACCTCATTATTTTTTCTGAACTATCTTATGCAATAGATAGCGGGGAGGTAGGGCAGGACCTAGATCCTATAATCCAGAGGAAAGTTATTCCCCTCTCACTTATGGTTGACTGAATCCCACATATGGCAGGAGGGTATGATAAATACACAGGGATACCACTGATTGTCAATAAAACATCTTAACAGGAGCTGTAGGATAACTATAACACATAAAATAGTTAGAATCGTTATGGTAATACTGTATGAACTTGACTTACATTGATCATTCCCTATTTTAGTGTTACTCGATTGATCCATCACCAGGGGATGGATCCAGTTTGTGAGGGAATAAACAAAACTGTGCCAAAAAATGACTCTGACGTCACATCCAGTCAATGACGTCATTTCCGGTCTCTTAGACCTCACTTCCGGTTTATGACGTCACTTCCTTTCGAGGATTACGTGCCCAGTGAATTGTATCAGCAGTGGATACATCAATTCTAATTAAACTAAGGGACATCTCTGAGATAGAAGTTTCCACTGGCATCCTGCTACAACCTGTTTCAGTGACACTGATCTTCAAGCAGCAACATGAAGTTAGAAACAGATTTGGGATTCAAATCCTGAATCTGATTTTTCTTTTGCTGATTCGGCATTCGGGAAATTCAGTATTTGAACTATATATCCTCAAATAATGTATAATTGTAGGGGGCAATTCCAAATATGAACAAAATAAAACCTCAAAAACCTTATTTCTTCATTCAGCTAAATCGGATCCCGAATCTGAATATTATTTTCATATGCATACCCAAATAGATTATGCTCCCAAAAACTTGATCCTGGGAGTCAGTGTAAGTTCGGACTTGTCCGGATGGATTATCAGCCCTGGGTGGGTGAACACGTGAGTGATAAATCTTGTCTGTTTTTCTAGAACATGAGTCAAGATGTTCCATTCCAGGATGATGTCCATTATAGCCGTGGATAGTCACTTGTCTGTGATGTGGAAAGTTCATAATCTGGTTCATAATCACTGTGAACAGTCATGGTGCTAGCGATATGCCGAACGGAAACGACTGTTGACGGCAAAATGAGAACGTATGGGGATTGGAACATTTAGATATTCATCCTTTGGATCTAGACTTACAAAGTGAGTGTTCTGGTGGATTAAAGAACATAAGTTGGCTAGACATTACATCTTGAGCTTGGGTGGCTTCCTGAGAAAACTGTTGTTGAGGATCTTGAGATCTATGATGATGCACATCTCTTCTGTGTCCTTCTTGGGTTACCAGGAAGACCGGAGCATAAAAACCCTTGGATGTGTCTTTGGTGGTCAGAGTGACTATAGCTCTCTTTTCTAATAGCTGTTCTATCACCAAGGTAGCTGCTGACAGATGTGGGCCTAAGTGTAGAAAAAGTCTGGCTCCCATAAGGGTGACAAGTGACTGGTGGAAGAGTGTCCCAAGGTAGCCCCGTTCTATGACCAAGAGAAGCCAGTTCTCTAATGTGATCTGCTTCCAGTTGTCCAGAAAAAGTGATAGTCGACCCTCCACCAGCGAAGGGGCAACTGGGAAAGTGAATTCGTAATCTATTTCCAAGTCCGTGTCGTAATGAAGAGAAGTAACTGTTGGCTGATATTCCTTGCCCCCTAGCCTGTATGCACAAAAATGCCTAGATCCTCTTCCTCGGTCTCTGAAGTTGTTTGAGGTGCCATAGTTAGATAAAGATCGAGGTCTAGAGTCTGATGCCCAGTCGAAAGGTTCTGGACGTCCCGAAGGTGGAGGTCGAGATACTGTAATATAAAAAAAAATAGTGTTTCTTCTGCCTCTAGGGGCACCCAGATACCTTTTCTGTGTCTGGAAGGCCGAGGCTAACTTCTGATTGAGGTTCCTTGTAGTAATGGCATCCTTTGTCTCCATAGCCTGTTGACATTGGCCGTTAAAAATAGATGCTGAATCTAATGGCTGTGGAAAAAGCTGATCCTTGGCCATTTCCGGTAGGTTCCAGTTACTGAACTTAACCTGTTTGATCAATCCAGAGCTGATATACTACATCCAGAAAGAAATGCGCCATGTGGTCACATGAGCTGTCATAGATACAAGTGTGTCTTATTTAACTGTGGTGGCTTGCCATACCTGCCGTGATAACGGTTACCTCTGTATAGGTTGATCCCATGCGCGTGAGCCATTCGGGGTTCACCCGGTCAAACCCATTGGACACTTGCTGCTCCGACCCGTCTGTGTTGGAAGCGGTAGACAGACCAGTGGGCTTACTGATAGTAAAGTTAACAGCAAGCGGTTGAAACTCAGGGACTCAAGTTGCGTCATGGGCAAATCCTGCCATCTGTCGACCCCGTCGACATTAGTCCCGCCCCCTCAATACCTTTTGCATCTCCCACCCAGGGGGATTGTCCACCAGCAGAGCACCCACAAAGCCTATGGGTATCAACTCTAGACAGTGGGGCTCTTGCCAGCATCCTTCGAGTCATATGGCTCACGGACGACTGGCTAATAGGCTTAGCTGTCTGATCTAGCTGCTGCTGTAGACTTAAAAAATTTACCTCTCAATGTGTCTGTCTGTTGGAGGGACTGATTCATAGAGGCATTGATGTCTTGTTTAAAGGATGAGAATAAGGCCGTAATGGCGGCAAGATGCATCTTATCAGATGAAGCCTGTGATGTAGTCTTGGTCTTACTCTTTGATTCCGATTGAGTAGACTTCAAAGGGGAAGAGGAGGACAAAGTGAGTTTAGAGGGATCCGAGGATGATGAAAACTTCCTTTTCTTACATAAGGAACGAGAAGCATCCATCTTTAACCAATCTTCATTTGCTAGTCCCTGACATAGCAAACATCGATCTTGTAAGGAACATGTAAAGCAAGCGGCACATTATGAATGAGGGTCTGATTCTGCCATGAACTTTCAACAATGCAGGCATTTACTTACAGCCATGATGTTTTGGCGGGTAAAACACAGGGGCCAATCATAAAGAAAATGTCACATAAATTCACACAAAGATAACGAATGTCGATTGTTCAGTAGCCACCAATGCGACAACACTGACCCGAATAATACGATGAATGTTGAAAATCTGTAACACGTCTTGTAGGTGGCCCATACAGAAAAATTATGAGGTTTTCAAACAATTCTGATGTCACAGGGGAAATAATCTACATAGGGATACCACGAGGGATAACTATGACTTAGTTTAAAGTTTCATTTCCACTTCTGTATGTCTCATTGGTACCCACAAATACAAGACAACCATAACCCCGAGGGAATGTTTACGACATAATTAGAACATGTCTTATCTCAAATATATATCTCAACTTGTGACAGATGCAGGACATCATTGTAATGAAATATAAAATTGATCTATAAGAATTTATTTTTGTTAGAATACTGGCCATTAAGAATTCTGGTCATTTACCAAATTTCAGGCCCTGATAAACGGTCACACCCTCGATGGCAGAGTAGAACCAAATCAGTTCCCAATCTGGGAATTCTAGGTGACCTCAGCTATCTGAACAAACAAGGTTTGTCACGTTTGTCTGCCCCAACTACCTCCTGGCTTTCTTTCTTGCATGTCCTGTAACACCCTTTGTATGCCTTGTAACACCCTTTGTGTGCCCTGTAACACCCTTTGTATGCCTTGTAACACCCTTTGTATGTCCTGTAACACCCTTGCATATCCTGTAACACCCTTTGTATGTCCTCTAACACCCTTTGTATGCCCTGTAACACCCTTTGTATGCCCTGTAACACCCTTTGTTGCCTTGTAACACCCTTTGTATGCCTTGTAACACCCTTTGTATGCCTTGTAACACCCTTTGTATGTCCTGTAACACCCTTGTATATCCCTGTAACACCCTTTGTATGTCCTGTAACACCCTTTGTATGTCCTGTAACACCCTTTGTATATCCTGTAACACCCTTTGTATGTCCTTTGTATGTCCTGTAACACCCTTTGTATGCCCTGTAACACCCTTTGTATGCCTGTAACACCCTTTGTTGCCTTGTAACACCCTTTGTATGCCCTGTAACACCCTTTGTATGTCCTGTAACACCCTTGCATGTCCTGTAACACCCTTTGTATGTCCTGTAACACCCTTTGTATGCCCTGTAACACCCTTTGTATGCCCTGTAACACCCTTTGTATGTCCCTGTAACACCCTTTGTATGCCCTGTAACACCCTTTGTGTAACACCCTTTTGTATGTCCTCCCTGTAACACCCTTTGTATGTCCTGTAACACCCTTTGTATATCCTGTAACACCCTTTGTATGTCCTGTAACACCCTTTGTATGCCCTGTAACACCCTTTGTATGTCCTGTAACACCCTTTGTATGCCCTGTAACACCCTTTGTATGTCCTGTAACACCCTTTGTATGTCCTGTAACACCCTTTGTATATCCTGTAACACCCTTTGTATGTCCTGTAACACCCTTTGTATGTCCTGTAACACCCTTTGTATGTCCTGTAACACCCTTTGTATGTCCTCCCTGTAACACCCTTTGTATGTCCTGTAACACCCTTTGTATGTCCTGTAACACCCTTGCATATCCTGTAACACCCTTTGTATGTCCTCTAACACCCTTTGTATGTCCTCCCTGTAACACCCTTTGTATGTCCTGTAACACCCTTTGTATGCCCTGTAACACCCTTTATATATCCTGTTGCACCCTTTGCATGTCATGTAACACCCTTTGTATGCCCTGTAACACCCTTTGTATGCCCTGTAACACCCTTTGTATGCCCTGCATCACGCCTTGCATGGCCTGTATCACGCCTTGTGCGCGTGTTACTCTGGGTGCCAGCTAGGTGAAACATACTCCGGATGTAATACCCTGTGTCTAATGTCACCATCAAGTGATAAAACCTGTGTAACACCATCATCGTTACTGCTTTCACAGAGAGAACTTGCACCAGTGCTAAACCTTTCTGTTTCAGCATGTGCACATAATCCCAGCACACAAGTTCAGTGTACCCATTCTATTCCTATTTCAGGTTTTTGATGCCTACAATTAGGGACATATTTTGGGTCCATACTACAAACAGTTGGAAATAATAAAATGAAAAACTGATCTATTTTACTACATTGAAACTTAAACGTTCACCTCCCCAAATTGGTGGTGGAATATTTTGTAGTGCATGCGGGACAACACATTCTGATATTCTATTCTGCTTCTTGTTCATTTCAACTTTTTTTCACTATCAACTCCTGAAGATCTGGGTTAGAGGCAACTATGCTTGTTGACTACTGGTAACAAGATTGGGCAGTGGGTCTTGATGACTTAGTTGATGCATGTCATTGTCGGCTAGTTGTGTCATTGACCCTCAGACACTGGACAATCTGATCCAGACTCAATTATTTACATCATATAGCTGGAATATGGCTGTAAACCTGTAGAAAATGAAAACAGCCTAGCAAGAAATTGTATACTTGTTACTGTCATACAACCATACAATCAAGTACCTCTTTTTCATGCTAAGGGTAACTGAGTTTTATAATATATCTATACGTTGAATAATATTGAAAAAGCAAAAGAGTTCTAACATGCTCAACTTTGATCTGAATGGATATGTAGTTTCTCTTCATCATGCATTTATTATCTTATGAATATGAGATTATTTACATTTTTTATTTTCTTAAACATCAAAGCTGGTTGACTGTTGTCATTTCACTCACATACACTGTACTATTTCTGTATCCGACCTCTGTCTACTATTCCAGTGCCAGTTCCCAGTGAAAGCCCCACCCTTATGTCACCCACCCAGACACCACACCGGCCTCTGTCTACTATTCCAGTGCCAGTTCCCAGTGAAAGCCCCACCCTTATGTCACCCACCCAGACACCACACCGGCCTCTGCCAAAACCTCCAGAACAGGAGGACACGGAGAAAAGTCCACCTATGTCTGGATTCCAGAAACAGCTTGAAGATGCAAGATTAAAACTTTCTGGTGGACCCAACAAGAAGGGTATGTATATATACATGTAGACTCTGATTTACCTTACAGAAGCACAGGGAGTACATTGGTTAACGTAGATAAGAGAAATTGTCACAGGGAGTGTTATTTTACCCATCAGTCATCAGACAGACAGACAAAGGTCTGTTGTCAAAACTGAAAGATATTGAATTCAGCGGGTAGTTTGTTGCCTATGCTACACTATGTTGAAGTGTCTGAAGACAGACTACAGTCGTCAAAACTTTAGAAACTTGTGTATGATGCATTTGGGTGAGTAAAGTAGTATATACAATGATAAGAAAAAGACGTGTGGGTACACCTTTGCTTAGAAGCTTCCATACGGGCTAATTCTGCTACCAGCCTAGTACCTTGGGAAAAAAAGTATTGTAGTAGGGTATACGAACCATGCAGGTTTTTTGTTGTTTTTTCGTCGGGGCGTGTGCCCTACTTTCCGTACCACAAATTTCCACGAAACGCAGTTGGAATACGGAAACGGGCCTAGACAAGTGTACGACTCCATTCGTCCTTTGCAACCCCCAGCCCGCGACTGTGCATCTGCAAAAATACTAGGCGAGCTGTCGAAGGGTCTACTCTCCCTAGCCCTGCGGTGTCTGGAAGGGCCCATAGAACCTATTCTCCCCAAGGTCTGGAAGCAGCAATTCGACTTCTCTATCGTCTTTCTTTTTCGATATAGGCGAGCAACAGATTTTGCCGAGCGTGCACAGAAACGGTTCCCAAACCAACCATAGGCGTTCTATTCCACCATCGGCCCGAATCGTTTCTTGATCTTGTAGCCGTAGACTGGAATCGTTTCCCCTGTCGGCGAATCGAGTAGCAGCAACAGCTGGTTCTTCGGTGTTCGCTGCACGGAGGGGTGCTACTTCCATATCCTTGGGCCCGCCCTAGTTGAGCAAAGGGGTATGCCAAATATTGCCCCGTCCCTGTGGTACCTCTGCTTCCCCCGATAGCTGCCGGAAGATGCAAGACTCTTTCTCCTTGCACGGACAATGGTCCACCAATTTGCTGGCGAGGAGTGCATACCGTATGCTCCAGAAAGCGCAGGCGTTGTCATACAGGTTCTCTATATTCGCGAAACAGCTGTCGACCACGATCTCTTCTGGAACCTCGAGTGGAAGTCGCTCCTGGGGTGTGTAGTGTATCGCTTTCTTTCCCCAGAGAACGCATTTCTTGCTGTCGATGCAATGGTCGATGGAACCACACTTGCACATAGAGTTGTCGGGGCCGAAGAGAGCAGGCAGTTCCGATAGAGTGGCGAGGCAGTCGGTGCAGCGGTTGTGCCTGTCCTTGGGTCGCAGATAGCAGTCGTCGGCAAGAATGATTCGGAGTTTGCCTGCCAAGGGTCGAAATTGGTGGGGTGGGTAGATGTAGACGAAATCGACTATTTTGCCGGCTTCTACTAGTGGGCGAAAGCACAGCAAATAGAGTTCGAGAAACTGGCGTGGGATCTGGTAGCATTCGTAGAATGTGTGTCCCGATTGCTCCAGGATTTGTTTCTCTCGGTCGGAAAGCAACATGGGGCAACACTTCTGCAGCAGGGCCTCGAAGTCTTCGGCCATGTCGGGAGTTGCCGTCGTCTTGGGCTCGGAGTCTATACCACCTCGGATTCGCGTGTATCGGGCTTGCGATATGTGGTACTTCCTCTTCGCTTCCCGAAAGGACAAACGACCAGATCGGATCTCGGTATAGGCTTCGCGCGAGAGCTTGGTTCCTGGCATGTTTCTATATCCATGCACCCACATAGCTCTAATTGGGAGTGCACTGCATTGGGAGCAGCCGAAAGTGGTCTTGTCGAAGGGTTTGGGCAAACACTCATTTTTTACTAGGCTGGTAGCAGAATTAGCCCGTATGGCAGCTTCTAAGCAAAGGTGTACCCACACGTCTTTTTCTTATCATTGTATATACTACTAGTAGTCATACTCTGTGTCATCATGTAAATCATTGTGGTCTGAATTCACCTTCACCAGTCTTGAACTACATTGACAATAGGTGCACCATGTAGCTTAGGTGCAGATATTGCTGTTCAGAAATGGGTCCCTCAAGTGTGCACTTTACATGTTGTTTTGTTTTAATTTTCACTCTTCTGGTGCAGGATGATGAATGATTCACTTCCCTCATCAGGTGCAGGATGAATGATTCACTTGTGTCATCAGGTGCAGATGGTGAATGATTCACTTGCCTCATCAGGTGCAGGATGATGAATGATTCACTTCTCTCAGCAGGTACAGAATGATGAATGATTCACTTCCCTCATCAGGTGCAGATGGTGAATGATTCACCTGCTCCATCAGGTGCAAATGGTGAATGATTCACTTGTCTCATAAGGCGCGGGATGATGAATGATTCACTTCCCTCAGCAGGTACAGAATGATGAATGATTCACTTCTCTCAGCAGGTACAAAATGATGAATGATTCACTTCCCTCATCAGGTGCAGATGGTGAATGATTCACCTGCTCCATCAGGTGCAAATGGTGAATGATTCACTTGTCTCATAAGTCGCGGGATGATGAATCATTCACTTCCCTCAGCAGGTACAGAATGATGAATGATTCACTTGCCTCATCAGGTGCAGATGGTGAATGATTCACTTTCCCCATCAGGTGCAGATGGTGAATGATTCACTTGCCTCATCAGGTGCAGATGGTGAAGGATTCACCTCCCTCATCAGGTGCAGGATGATGAATGATTCATTTGCCTCATCAGGTGCAGGATGATGAATGATTCACAACGCCTCATCAGGTGCAGGGTGAATGATTCACAATGACTCATCAGTTGCAGATGGTGAATGATTCACTTGCTTTATCAGGTGCACATGATCAATTATTCACTTGCCTCATCAGCTGCAGATGGTGAATGATTCACTTGCCTCATCAGGTGCAGGATGATGAATGATTCACCCCTCTCATCAGGTGCAGGATGATGAATGTTTCACAATGCCTCATCAGGTACAGGATAGTAAATGATTCACAATGCCTCAACAGGTGCAGATGGTGAATGATTCACTTGCCTCATCAGGTGCAGGGTGATGAATGATTCACCTCTCTCATCAGGTGCAGGATGGTGAATGATTGACAATGCCTCATCAGGTACAGGAGGGTAAATGATTCACAATGCCTCATCAGGTGCAGATGGTGAATGATTCACTTGCCTCATCAGGTGCAGATGGTGAATGATTCACTTGTCTCATCAGGTGCAGGATGGTGAGTGATTCACTTGCCTCATCAGGTGCAGGATGATGAATGATTCACCTCTCTCTTCAGGTGCAGGATGATGAATGATTCACCTCTCTCATCAGGTGCAGGATGACGAATGATTCACTTGCCTCATCAGGTGTAGATGGTGAATGATTCACTTGCCCCATCAGGTGCAGATGGTGAATGATTCACCTCCCTCTTCAGGTGCAGGATGATGAATGATTCACCTCTCTTATCTGGTGCAGATGGTAAATGATTTATTTGCCTCATCAGGTGCAAATGGTGAATGATTCACTTGCCTCATCAGGTGCAGGATGATGAATTATTCACCTCTCTCATCAGGTGCAGATGGTGAATGATTAACCTCCCTCATCAGGTGCAGGATGATGAATGATTCACAATGCCTCATCAGGTACAGGATAATAAATGATTCACAAAGCCTCAACAGGTGCAGGATGATGAAGGATTCACCTCTCTCATCAGGTGCAGATGGTGAATGATTCACTTGCCTCATCAGGTGCAGGATGATGAATGATTCACCTCTCTCATCAGGTGCAGGATGGTGAACGATTCACTTGCCTCATCAGGTGCAGATGGTGAATGATTCACAATGCCTCATCAGATGCATGATGATGAATGATTCACAATGCCTCATCAGGTGCAGATGGTGACTGATTCACTTGCCCCATCAGGTGCAGGATGATGAATGATTCACTTGTCTCATCAGGTGCAGGATGGTGAATGATTCACTTGCCTCATCAGGTGCAGATGGTGAATGATTCACCTCCATCATCAGGTGCAGGATGATGAATGATTCACTTGCCTCATCAGGTGCAGGTTGAATGATTCACTTGCCTCATCAGGTGCAGATGGTGAATGATTCACAAAGCCTCAACAGGTGCAGGATGATGAATGATTCACCTCTCTTATCAGGTGCAGATGGTGAATGATTCACTTGCCTCATCAGGTGCAGATGGTGATTGATTCACCTCCCTCATCAGGTGCAGATGGTAAATGATTCACTTGCCTCATCAGGTGCAGGATGAATGATTCACAATGCCTCATCAGGTGCAGGATGGTGAATGATTCACTTGCCCCATCAGGTGCAGATGGTGAATGTTTCACTTGCCTCATCAGATGCAGGATGATGAATGATTCACTTGCCTCATCAGGTACAGGATTAGGAATGATTGACATCCCTCATAAGACACAGGATGATGAATGATCAACATCCCCCATCTTATGCATGATGGTAAATGATTCACCTCCCTCATAAGGTGCAGATAAATGTTTTTCTTGCCTTATCACGTGCAGGATGATGAATGATTCACATCCTTCGTCAAGTGCAGGATTAGGAATGATTCACATCCCTAATCAGGTGAATGATTCAGTGTATACTCTGTACTCTCCATGTGATATCCAGTGTATACCCCGTACTATACATGTGATGTCCAGTGTATACCATGTACTGTGCATGTGATATCTAGTGTATGCCCTATACTGTACATGTGATATCCAGTGTATGCCCTGTACTGTCCATGTGATATCCAGTGTATACCCTGTACTGTCCATGTGATATCCAGTGTATACCCCATACTATACTTGTGATGTCCAGTGTATGCCCTATACTGTACATGTGATATCCAGTGTATTCCCTGTACTGTCCATGTGATATCCAGTGTATACCCCATACTATATATGTGATGTCCAGTGTATACCATGTACTGTATATGTGATATCCAGTGTATGCCCTATACTGTACATGCGATATCTAGTGTATGCCCTGTACTCTCCATGTGATATCCAGTGTATACCCTGTACTATACATGTGATGTCCAGTGTATACCATGTACTGTGCATGTGATATCTAGTGTATGCCCTATACTGTACATGTGATATCCAGTGTATCCCTGTACTGTCCATGTGATATCCAGTGTATACCCTGTACTCTGCATGTGATATCCAGTGTATACCCCGTACTTTACATGTGATGTCCAGTGTATGCCCTATACTGTACATGTGATATCCAGTGTATTCCCTGTACTGTCCATGTGATATCCAGTGTATACCCTGTACTGTGCATGTGATATCCAGTGTATACCCTGTCCTGTCCATGTGATATCCAGTGTATATCCCCTGTACTGTACATCTGATATCCTGTGTATACCATGTATACCCATTATTGTGTCTATGGAATGTTTCTTGTATTGTAATCAGGAATTAGAACAAGAAAACTTTAGCTAGTGACCAACTGCACTATTTTCTTACAACACAGCTGAGCACTGCTATGCTTTAACCTGTTTTCTAACAGCATCACTAACATCTCGTGGAGCGCTGGTTAATCCTAACAAATCTCGCCTATCTCACCGCCAACAAGTACCTCAGCGTAGTTACAGCAGTAGATCAGCACAAGACCAGCATTACCAACCTATTGGTGCCAACTCACCTAGTCAGCGTTCTTACTCTGAGTCAGACACCACTGTGGACCAAGAATACTATGATGACGCTGTTGCTCTCCAACTTTCAGAAGGAAAGAGTGTATCATTTGCCAACACACCCTCAGAAGATGGTTCCAGTGAATCAGGTGAGAGCAGAAATCTGCATAAGTTTTCTGCAAACCTGTTGGAATTCCAGGTAGACTTTGTTCCTCCTTCCTATGTTGGTGACATCACAGGAATCCAAGAAATATTGGGTATGATAGAGGTGCCAAACATGAAGACATGATCCTTGCTTTAACAATCATGATTCATTCCCTAAGCATAAATCACATAGGGTTCAATATTTTTTGGGAAATATTTTCCATTATAATAATGTCAAATCAAAGACTACAAAACAATAAAAACCATATGCTTGATTATGCATGCTCAAATGATATTGATTGATTTAGTTTCATCGGAATTTCATGTAATACTAATTTACTTACTAGTACGACAGGACTATTAGGCATGGCGACCTTGCCACCTTGGGTTCAGGTTGCGGTGCATTATGAGCATCACGTGACGTATCTTTCTCCATGTCTATCAACTGTCAACAAGATAGTTGCCTAATCATTTTAAGAAGTGAATCAGATGTTAACGGTCACTCTTACTTAGCACATGGCAGACAGACAGTCTGGCAACGTAAGCCAATTAGAGTTATTCTCTCCTTATTGAGTCCTTGCGTCCTAGAAAATGGACTTGAGTCCAGCTAAACCTGACTCGGGCTCAAGAAGCTGTCTAAGCCCTACTAAACTGTTAAATCAAAACAGAACAATTACAATGGTTCATGTGTAGAGCCTATGCTGGTTATCAGAGTCACTTAAATGGATGGTGTAGTTAGGCTCAGTGGATATGTTGATTTACCTTTATTTATAGTATCAAATAGATAGAGTCCTTCTTTCCAACATGTGAAGATCCAGGTTAGAATTGGACTTCAGCAACCCATGCTTGTCATGGAAACTAACGAGATCGGTTGGTAAGGCTCGTTGGCTTGGCTGACATGTAATTGTGTTCCATGTGCGTAGGTTGATGCACATGGTGACTATCACTGGATTGTCTGGACAATTTTCACTTCAACGTGCAGCAGGTCTTCACAGAAGTTCAAAAAACTTTGTCCTTGTGTACAATACTGTATGTGTGTCCTTGTGTACAATACTGTATGTGTGTCCTTGTGTACAATACTGTATGTGTGTCTTTGTGTACAATACTGTATGTGTGTCCTTGTGTACAATACTGTATGTGTCCTTGTGTACAATACTGTATGTGTCCTTGTGTACAATACTGTATGTGTGTACAATACTGTATGTTGTGTACAATACTGTATGTGTGTCCTTGTGTACAATACTGTATGTGTGTCTTGTGTACAATACTGTATGTCCTGTATGTGTCCTTGTGTGTACAATACTGTATGTGTGTCCTTGTGTACAATACTGTATGTGTCCTTGTGTACAATACTGTATGTGTGTCCTTGTGTACAATACTGTATGTGTGTCCTTGTGTACAATACTGTATGTGTGTCCTTGTGTACAATACTGTATGTGTGTCCTTGTGTACAATACTGTATGTGTCCTTGTGTACAATACTGTATGTGTGTCCTTGTGTACAATACTGTATGTGTCCTTGTACAATACTGTATGTCTTATTAATACTGTATGTGTGTGTACAATAATACAATATGTGTGTCCTTGTGTACAATACTGTATGTGTGTCCTTGTGTACAATACTGTATGTGTCCTTGTGTACAATACTGTATGTGTGTCCTTGTGTACAATACTGTATGTGTCCTTGTGTACAATACTGTATGTGTGTCCTTGTGTACAATACTGTATGTGTGTCCTTGTGTACAATACTGTATGTGTGTCCTTGTGTACAATACTGTATGTGTGTCCTTGTGTACAATACTGTATGTGTGTCCTTGTGTACAATACTGTATGTGTGTCCTTGTGTACAATACTGTATGTGTCCTTGTGTACAATACTGTATGTGTCCTTGTGTACTGTATGTGTCCTTGTGTACAATACTGTATGTGTCCTTGTGTACAATACATGTGTCCTTGTGTACAATACTGTATGTGTGTCCCTTGTGTACAATACTGTATGTGTGTCCTTGTGTACAATACTGTATGTGTTCCTTGTGTACAATACTGTATGTGTGTCCTTGTGTACAATACTGTATGTGTGTCCTTGTGTACAATACTGTATGTGTCCTTGTGTACAATACTGTATGTGTGTTCTTGTGTACAATACCGTATGTGTCCTTGTGTACAATACTGTATGTGTGTCCTTGTGTTAATACAATATGTGTGTCCTGTGTACAATGTGTGTCCTTGTGTACAATACTGTATGTGTGTCCTTGTGTACAATACTGTATGTGTGTCCTTGTGTACAATACTGTACAATACTGTATGTGTGTCCTTGTGTACAATACAATACTGTATGTGTCCTTGTGTACAATACTGTATGTGTGTCCTTAGTGTACAATACTGTATGTGTGTCCTTGTGTACAATACTGTATGTGTCCTTGTACAATGTACATTGTACTGTACAATACTGTATGTGTGTGTCCTTGTGTACAATACTGTATGTGTGTTATTGTGTACAATACTGTATGTGTGTACAATATTGTGTACAAATACTGTATGTGTCCTTGTGTACTGTATGTATGTGTCCTTGTGTACAATACCTGTATACCTGTATGTGTGTCCTTGTGTACAATACTGTATGTGTCCTTGTGTACTGTGTGTGTGTCAATACTGTATGTGTCCTTGTGTACAATACTGTATGTACTGTATGTGTCCTTGTGTACAATACTGTATGTGTCCTTGTGTACAATACTGTATGTGTGTCCTTATGTACAATACTGTATGCGTGTTCTTGTGTACAATACTGTATGTGTGTCTTTGTGTACAATACTGTATGGGTCCTTGTGTACAATATTGTATGTGTGTCCATGTGTACAATACTGTATGTGTCCTTGTGTACAATACTGTGTCCTTGTGTACAATACTGTATGTGTCCTTGTGTACAATACTGTATGTGTGTTCTTGTGTACAATACTGTATGTGTGTTCTTGTGTACAATACTGTATGTGTGTCCTTGTGTACAATACTGTATGTGTGTCCTTGTTTTGCAACAGGGGCTACTAACAAGCAAGGGTTCAAGGAACGTCTTGAAATGCTGTTGGCTGGTGGACCAAGAACAACTAATCCAGTGCAGAGGACATCAGCTGTACCCACATCACCTGTGTCACAAGGCCCCGTGGAGGAGGAGGAGGAGGAGTATGATGAGGTCCTCTATGAACACATAGATGGTGTGTAACTGATTGCTGGACCTCGCCAGTGCACAGCATGGGTTGCTCATAGCCAGCACTGACAGCTGCACTGTTGCCACAGTACAGCAGATCATCTAATCACTGAAGAATCTACAGAAACCTATTTTATCTGACTATATTCCAAACCTGTATATAGTTCATGCCAGTTCGTTTGGAACTTGTGTCATCACAAGAAGCACAAAATGTGACTGAGTTTCCCATTGAGATAAGGGGGGACCTAAGATGGCATTGTGTGATGGCCACATGAGAGGAGGTCCTCTAAGGTGTGATGAGATCATCCTTGAACTGATGGTATCCAGATTGTGATGTATTGTGATTAACAAGGAGTCCTGGAAGGGCTGGACAAAATGAGAATATAGCGTCAGTTTATGTGGTCGTGATCATGATAGACTCATACTTGGGACATTGCAATGAAACATGCAAACTGTAGAGTTGAGCACCATCAGGTTGAAATACCTTGAATACATCATTCGGGTGAGAAAATTGTTAAAAAAGAAGACTGCACATCCAGTGTGCTGTTTTATTGGTTGTATTGTTTTTAAGATGTATACAGTAATAACTGTTCACTAACAACCCATGTTTGTCATCAGACTGAAATGGGGCTCAGTATTAACTGCACATTTTTTTAAAAGACCTAGTTATTTACTCTTCCACTATCCCAAGTTTTGTAAAAATATTTGTGGGGCAGGCATCAAAGAAAGCCTATACCTGATGCTGTCACCACCACCCAAGGAAAGACGTCAAGCCCAGCGAGAGAATTAGGGGCTTCATCAAGTGTCTTGATACATGGGCGGATCCAGGAATTTTGAAGAAGTGTGTGTGTGTTTCAAAGCCCCTGAAACACCCCCATTGGCTCCGCCAACGCGAAAAAAATAATCAATGTGGTCTTAAGTCATTTTCAGGGGTGTCGAAACCCCCTGAACCCCCCCTCTGGATCTGCCAATGATGATATGTCCATATAACACACATATAAAGGCTTACAGTACTCTTCTACAGTGTGGTTTATATGTAACTGTGTATACTGTGTACAGAGACCATACAATTATATGTTATATTCTGTAGTACAATACAGACAAATAACTTCTGTGATATGCACTGCGACACAACTGAACTACATGCATCTGACTACAGGTACTTATAACATGAAGAACTGGCACAGTCTGTTGTTACTGCGTCATGTTGTAAACAGTTTCTGCTGGTTGTCAGTACTTACACTGTGTCAGCGTGTTGCTGAAACTGCAGTAAACCATACTCGTTCAGTCAATACAAATTACTTGGACTGTTGTTTAAAGGAAGTCTCTCCAGACAGACTAACCACACACTCAAAGCAATCTTCTACAGGACTTTTAAAGTGAGATTAAAATAGCACATATATTTAGATGATGAGTTGATGTGTATAAACATATTCTGATGTTGTACATATACTTCCACATATGCAGGAGTGTCTTCACAGTTAGATAGAGAATCTGACCCACGTGTCTTCTGATATCAAATATATCAACACAAGTTGATTAAAGTTTGTTGAGGATAGTTTTACGTTAGTCCATTAGTGTTGATATGTTTTATATCAGAGTGTTCATTTATCATTCAAAATCATTCTTCATCAGTTATCAGTAACTGAATGAACTGCCATTCAGCCTCTTCTTTGAGAGCCATTTTAGAAGTTGTATAGATGAAGGAAAACCAAGTTCTATGGATAGTCAACTTCTTTCTTGCAATGGGTACAACGTTTCGGTGTAGGTACTAACACTGTTATCAAGCAAGTGATGCTTGATAACAGTGTTAGTACCTCCACCGAAACGTCGCACCTATTGCAAAAACAGAAGTTGACTATCCATAGAACTTGGTTTTCTTGCCATTCAGCCTTTTGAGCAGTGATCCCAGTGAGGTCATAGCATTGTGACATCATCAACACCTTTGTGACATCATAGCATTGTCAGCTGTGTTCTTAGTGATGTCAAAGCATTGTGGGGTCATTAACTGACGATGTAGTACCATTATGACAATTCAATTGTTGCGATATCTAAAATGTAGATATCGCTTGATCTCACTCAAGCTGTATCTACTGTGGGAGTCAGTTTTGGATGATAAATTGAAATATCAGCTTTGTATAAGATGAAGAGCTGATGTGTATAAACTTGGTATGATGTTGTACATATACTGGGGACTTTGTGTACCATTGTAAATACAGAATCGGGTCTCAGTTTTTTTAAATCAGATGGGACATATTATGTGTAAACATTGTAATAAATAAAACATGAAACCAATGACATACTGTTGTTCATTTGTTTTAAGACCTCCATAATTTTTCCAGACAAATATATAATCTACGGCTGTGAATCACTTTGAAATGACACTAGGAATTCCAGGTACGAATCATATTTTTTGTGCTGCATTCAAGGTTGAGGACAGGCTCCTATTTAACACACACTGGTGAGCTAGCTTCAGATGGATACTGCAAGCTGCGTAGAAACACATTCAAGGTTGAGGACCATTTATCAATGTACAAGAGTGCAAGAATCAGGATACTTTACTTAGAATACCACAATAATGTGAAAGAATTAAATTGCAATTATACTGTTGCCATTTGAGTAATATGTTAAATGTGTATTGACAACTGGTGCCGTTTTATATATACTGAACCACAAAAGAAATGTCACACCGATAGCTGTTTCTGAAAGCACACACTTTAATTCACTCTAATCAACAATCAAACGGAGGATTCAGATCAAACCTTACAATTATGGCTAACACATTTTCGGGAATCACATTTAGAGTTCACACAAACAAAATCACCAAAAATAGTACCTTTAAGATACTCCAAAGTCAGTATTGTGTGTGGCCTCTATGTGCATCGATGAAAGCGTTGCATCGTCTGTACATGGAATGAATTAGCCGTTAGCCTTCTTTGAATCTTGTCCCAAAGGTGTTCTATTGGACTCAAGTGCAGGGTATTGTAGGGTTTGGATGTCATGTTGTCTAAGGAAGGGGTCTCCTCGGTGCCACCACCCTATTGTTAAGGGTGGCGAAGCAGTCATGCGTGTTGATTGGAAGAACTATAGGAGGTGGCAGGGGTCATCTCAAGTATTTAATGCATGTACACAAATTACATGAAATTTTAATACAGTACAAAATAAGAAATATAAGAATATTAAAAAATATATTAGACAGGTTACACACTTTCACAATTATAAACAATTAAAATCCAATATTTGCACAATATTTACATTACAGTGTCTTAAGTATTATTAATGAAATTGCACAAGATTTGCACACGTTTTTAATGCATTTACACAAATTACATGAAGTATTAATACAGTACAAAATAAGAATATTAAGAAATTTATTACACAGATTACACACTTTCACAGTTATAAACGATTAAAGTCCAATGAGGTGAAACGTAGAACTGCTGGATCAGCAAGGTCAGCTTCTTCGAGAGCATGAAGCCACACTTCATCAATGTCACAAGGGGCAAGGCAGAAGCTCGTCAAACTACCATGTTTACAGCTGGTTCAGATGCAAATCGCTGGGCACTTGGCCATATGGCTTGTCTGTAGTGAAACATACAACCCCGGAGTTCACACTATAACACTTCAACAGCAGCTTGGTTGATCAGCAACCTCAAAGTCGGAGGCTATGTAGTCAGGTCTCAGGCGATGGTTGAGTTCTGAAGACTTGAGTTGCAGGGTCTGGAAAAAGTTCTTATATGTAGATTGCTTCTTGTCTGGGAGCAAGGCAAACACAAGAAGAAACATCTTCTGGCCCACAAAAGCATGTATGGAGTATAGCTGATGAAAGAGTTTAGGACAGATGTTAAATGTTCTATCACAGAAGAAGATGTCAGCAGCAGCCAGATGTCATAGATTGGACTCGGTGGTGAAGATGAGCATGTTGTCGTCAGAATGGAGAAGGAAGCTGTCGCCGGCAGATGTCTGTGTGCAGATCTGGGGAAGGTCGATGTCTGATCGGTGTTGTGGAAGTGGAGGGACTTCCTTGGCTCTGGACCTGTAGAGGCTGGCCTGGACGCTGTAAAACGTAGGTGCTGCCTGTGTTGCACCTGCTTCAGCTGATCGTAAACCTAAAAAAGAGGAATAAAATATGTATATGAGGTGCATAAAAACAGAATGTTATTAACTGATATTTAGGGGGAAAAGCAGTAACCATCTTCATTATTGCAACTACAAGTTACATTGATAGATATGTTTGGCATTTTGGTTGTTAATAACACATATACGTACCATTTAAATCTTCTTGGTAGATCGACGGAATCGGTCCACTGTCCTTCTTCACCAAGTCCTTCACTGTCCCCAGGAACGTGTCCACGGTGATCTTGGCCTGGTTTGGAAGATGGTTGTGTCCATGGTTCTGGGTTGTGATGAGGTCGTTCGAAGTGTTGATGGTGGCTGGGCATGTAGCAATGCAGCATTTCCAGTGAAAGTGTAAGGTGTTGTTCAAGCTATAGGGTGCTGCTGTAAGCAGTTGTTCAAGCTGTAGGGTGTTGTTGTGTTGGTAGTTGTTCAAGCTGTAATGTGTTGTTCAAGCTGTAAGGTGTTGTTCAAGCTGTAGGGTGTTGCTGTAAGCAGTTGTTCAAGCTGCAGGATGTTGCTGTAGGCAGTCATTCCAGCTGTAAGGTTTTGTTCAAGCTGAAGGGTGTTGCTGTATGCAGTTGTTCAAGCTGCAGGATGTTGCTGTAATCAGTTGTTCAAGCTGTAACGTGTTGTTCAAGCTGTAGGGTGTTGTTCAAGCTGCAGGATGTTGCTGTAGGCATGTGTTCAAGCTGTAAGGTGTTGTTCAAGCTACAAGGTATTGCTGTGTTGGGAGTTGTTGAAGCTGTAGGGTGTTGTTCAAGCTGTAAGGAGTTGGTCAGGCTGTTGGGTGTTGTTTAAGCTGCATGGTGTTGCTCAGGCTGTAGGGTGTTGTTCAAGCTGCAGGGAGTTGGTCAGGCTGCATGGTGTTGTTCAGGCTGTAGGGTGTTGTTCAAGCTGTAGGGTGTTGGTCAGGCTGTTAGGTGTTGTTCAAGCTGCAAGGAGTTGGTCAGGCTGTTGGGTGTTGTTCAAGCTGCAAGGAGTTGGTCAGGCTGTTGGGTGTTGTTCAAGCTGCAAGGAGTTGGTCAGGCTGCATGGTGTTGTTCAGGCTGTAGGGTGTTGCTGTAAGCAGTTGTTCAAGCTGTAAGGAGTTGGTCAGGCTGTAACGTGTTGTTCAAGCTGTAGGGTGTTGTTCAAGCTGTAGGGTGTTGCTGTAAGCAGTTGTTCAAGCTGTAAGGTGTTGTTCAAGCTACAGGGTATTGCTGTGTTGGGAGTTGTTGAAGCTGTAGGGTGTTGTTCAAGCTGCAAGGAGTTGGTCAGGCTGTTGGGTGTTGTTCAAGCTGCAAGGAGTTGGTCAGGCTGTTGGGTGTTGTTCAAGCTGTAAGGAGTTCGTCAGGCTGTAGGGTGTTGTTCATACTGTAGGGTGTTGCTACATGGTGTTGTTCAGGCTGTAGAGTGTTGTTCAAGCTGTAAGGAGTTGGTCAGGCTGTAATGTGTTGTTCAAGCTGTAGGGTGTTGTTCAAGCTGTAGGGTGTTGCTGTAAGCAGTTGTTCAAGCTGTAAGGTGTTGTTCAAGCTACAGGGTATTGCCTTTGTTGGGAGTTGTTGAAGCTGTTGGGTGTTGTTCAAGCTGCAAGGAGTTGGTCAGGCTGTTGGGTGTTGTTCAAGCTGCAAGGAGTTGGTCAGGCTGTTGGGTGTTGTTCAAGCTGTAAGGAGTTCGTCAGGCTGTAGGGTGTTGTTCATACTGTAGGGTGTTGCTACATGGTGTTGTTCAGGCTGTAGAGTGTTGTTCAAGCTGTAAGGAGTTGGTCAGGCTGTAATGTGTTGTTCAAGCTGTAGGGTGTTGTTCAAGCTGTAGGATGTTGCTGTAAGCAGTTGTTCAAGCTGTAAGGTGTTGTTCAAGCTACAGGGTATTGCCTTTGTTGGGAGTTGTTGAAGCTGTTGGGTGTTGTTCAAGCTGCAAGGAGTTGGTCAGGCTGTTGGGTGTTGTTCAAGCTGCAAGGAGTTGGTCAGGCTGTTGGGTGTTGTTCAAGCTGTAAGGAGTTCGTCAGGCTGTAGGGTGTTGTTCATACTGTAGGGTGTTGCTACATGGTGTTGTTCAGGCTGTAGAGTGTTGTTCAAGCTGTAAGGAGTTGGTCAGGCTGTAGGGTGTTGTTCATACTGTAGGGTGTTGCTACATGTTCTTGGTAAAGCTGTAAGATGTAGGTGTACATGCTGAGCTGTTCAGTGGTTTTTGTAGAGTGTTGTTCAAATTGTAGGGGTTTGTTCAAGCTGAAGGGTGTAGCGGTACAATGTCGTTCAGGTTTACAGGGTGAAGGATTGAATATCACAACAGAAGCAGATTAGTTAGCTTAGATTTTTTATACAACAATCATTGCAATACAAAACCATACACAGAGGCATCCATCCATAACTTCTGCAAAAGCACATTGTGGCAAACACAGCAAGAATTCAAGATAGTACCAGCTGAGACATTGTTTACCTGACTGAGCATCTCGCTTACATAACAATAAGATGATCAGAAATTTGTACTGGAGCATGTGGAACTTGACTGTATGGGCAGCACAGTATCTATACTGGACTTTTACTGAACTAAATACTCAATACTGCTTGCCTTGAAACTATTGTGGACACAACATGTTTGAAATAACATCCACAGTGATGGGAATCTATAACCTATGGTCCAACTCTGAAGTACTGGTAATTTGTTGGTCTCCTTTGAGGTTAGAATATATTTCACTTTGTGAGGTTGTGTACCATTGCAAACAGACCAATAGAATCACAATGTTGTCGAACTGAAAGTGGGACTGCCTGCATAATATCTGTTTGGAACAACTGGGACCTTCTCGAACTGAAGTTAGTACTGCAGCAGGTTCCAAGTTAAGAATGGTACAACTTTAAAAATTTATGAAAGAATATTTCATATCACAAAGACAAAATATGTCACTATATCAATATTATAACATTAATGTGATATACACTGTCCTAATCTCAGATGTAACACCAGCATTTCAACACCTAAAGTATACTCATAGAAAAAATAGTACTAGCGCCAAAATAAACAATGGCAATTTCACATCAAACAGTTCCACTGTCATTTGATTAAACATGGTTGATATTTTGAAATGTAATATCTATAAAAAAAAACATTTGAGAGTGTGATGAATAAAACATGTACATATATTATTGACATACATTTTGAAACACACAAATTATGTCTTACACACAAAAATACAGAGGACTCTGTGTACATGTTCCCTTCAGATATAATGGCCGACTTTTGGAAACTGGAGTTCCCTTGAAGACTTGCAGTTTAAATCTAGATCCACAAAACTCAATCAAATTATGGTATAATTTAAGATTCACATTCTACAGGGATAAATCTCTCATGATTTGGACAAGGATCTTTAGACAATGAAGCTGTTGTCACTTGGAGTCCAGAGTTGGTGGATAACAAGAGTGTAAATACAGCTAACACAAACTCCACCTCCATTATGTTGTGGAACTTGCACCCACGCTAACTAGTCAGGATCTCAGAAACTGTTCCTCGGCAGTGTTCTAACTTGTATATATACTTCATTGAGTTGCATTTCATTATAATCTAAAGCAGGTCACATGACGCTTTGTTTGCATGATTCTCTACAGTGTCAACAGGCTTATAAAATAACAAAATCTCTGTAACAATAATATACATCACTCACAAATCATCCATCCTACTCCTAATGACAAGTATCACAGAAAGAATCCATCATTATCATCACATCCCGATGGTACAGGCAACGCAACTGATGAGGTCATATGCAGGGTGCAAGTCCAGATATTTGACCACCAATATTAGGACAGCCCATAGTTCAAGTTACTGTGAGTATGTGCTTGGTCTTTATTACATTCAGAATCTGACAATAAAATTTAAAGTGATGTTACCACTACATTGAAACCCATCAGCATGGCTTAAGGTGCTAAGGATGAAAATCTCAAACATATTGGGATTTGAAATCATGATTAGCATCTCCTTAATAATGAAAATTGTTTGATTAATGTTTCAAGAAAATATTTAAACACTGGGTATTTATTTTAAAGTTTCTCTCCATTTTATTTCATGTTATATACCCCTGAGTCCTGCAGCCACCACTTGGCGTCTGCTTGGTGAACCCACTTGGCGTCTGCTCAGTGAACCCACTTGGCATCTGCTCCGTGAACCCACTTGGCGTCTGCTCGGTGAACCCATTTGGCGTATGTTCGGTCAACCCACTTGGAGTCTGCTCGGTGAACCCTCCTGACACTGAACCAGCGTTACACCCATGCACATCCTGGTCCGCTGGATGCTGCATTCACTTGCCACTAAGGGTACTAGGGGTTACTGGTGTATGTATCGGAAACTCCCCTTGATCATACAGCATATGATACACCTATCCATGTGTTGATTCATGTTAATTCTGTTTGATTTTGGAAAGGGAATATTTAAATAACCCACTTCAGTCTGATGGCTACTTGACTCAATTTTATGTAAACATTTAGATTGAGCCAAAATAGATACATGTTTTTAGTTAAATCCAAAAATACCCAAGAGCAACAAACTCTTGTCAAATGGGCCCAATAATTTCATGCAATAGAAGTCCTTATCAAATATCACAATATATTTTAGATAATGAGTCAAGTGTAGCGATACATAGCATATCACAAAGCAGACATGTGATGAACCCCAAGTCCCACACTGGTAACAGAACGTCCCACACTGGTAACATGATGTCCCACACTGGAACAGAACTTCCCACACTGGAACAGAACGTCACACACCGGTCATGATTGTCACAGTTGTCAAGGAGCCTGTCAACAAGTTCACGGAGGCTGCATCAGGATCACAATCCAAAGTAGTATCTGACAGGTGGTCCGGGCACATCCTCATCATTATCATCATCAAAGGACACGACTAGGTCAACATACTTCTGGGTGGCCGATGGCTTCAAGAGCTTCACCATGCTGTAATGAAGAAATTGCTCATACATTCACAACCAACACCATCTTTAATATGGCAATATCTGCTGTACTTAATCTTCCAAGTCACTTATGTCCCAATCCGTGCTTCTCAGGTTAGCATTGGTGCATATGTCCACTGCCATCAGTTACAGATTAGGTCCAATACTTTGGGGGTATATTGTCACCTATAAGATTATTCCACTAACATAGTGACGCACACATGTGTCTGTTGCTGCTTGGACTAGAGTAATGCCAGTTTCATAGTTAAAGCGTCGTAGGTTGATACGGATGCCATACTGAAACACGATATACCGACTGCAGCCATTCCCATTTACCCTAGAATGAGGCACACAAGATGCGTTAATAGCAAACAATCTTGTTTAACATTGGGTTCATTTGGTGATATTCATGACACTGTTACTCACGTCATGTTGAGGCTCTTGCTGTGGGCAGGCATGATGGGCATGTAGACCATCTTTACCCCATACACCACGGAGGAACCCTCAAAACCATATGTCTCCTGGAATGAAACAAAACATTTCTAGCTTCATGGATACTCTGTGTTGCAAATATTGACAAGGACCTAACAGGGTTGACCTGACATCATCGCCAGTGTTTTCATCCTCAGCAGCTCCCCATCCCATACATACAGGACCACTGCAGTCTCCAGACTGTACAGATCACACAATGTGTCAGCTTAGTGTGGTGGGACAGCCCATTGTGATGATAGAGGTTATTACCGATCAAGGATGATAATCAGGCAAGTCTGTGATTTGAATGCACACCTTGTCCTGACCCATCCTTGGGACACACCTCTGCAGCTATTGCAGCACCTTCGATCAACTACAGGTTCTCCTGTGCCACTTGGTGGTGACAGAGTGAGTAGATCCACACATCTACTTGGCCAATGATCTCGGTGTCTGAGCATTAAAGTGCTCCTCCCCAATTTGTATCAACATTTGTCAGCATCATACACATGCTCATGGGTTTTACCAAAGTGGTGTGTGCTTGAGACCTGTATCACTTTGAGCTTTCTCCGACATTAAGCTGACATGCTAGGATCTACTGGAATAATGACAGGGCACAACTCACTTTCACTTTCTCACTCACCTTGAAGTAGTGAAGGAACTGCTGAAGCGTGAAGTCCTTGTTGCCCCAGACCTCCCACTTGTCCCACATGGTGAAGGACACCCCCTCCCTGAAATATCACAAGGGTCACTTGTACAACCTACAAGGCATGAGTACATGGTGCACATAGACATCAACATTTCCATACGGCCACAGAGATAAAGGTATTTCCCCAAAGATACAGTGCAGTATTGTGTGGTCACCTGATGACTGTCCTCTCCACTGGTCCTGGTTCTGACAGCAGCATGATGGGGAGGGCCAGGTTCAGGAAACAGTTCTTGTACTTCTCTATGGCTGGCCTCTCTATCAGCTTCAGTAGTTCTATTGAAACTAGACCCGACACAGCGGCAGTAGTGGTGGCAATGGCTGGCACAATCCTCCCAGCTATACGCTTAATCTTCAGTCTGTCTGCAGTCTCTATATTGTAGCTCTGTGCACGTAGGTTCTACAAAGAAAAAAATGTCTAAGGGACCGTTCATAATTTATGGCTAGGGGGTGGGGGTGATGATGATTTTTGTGGAGAAGCATGTACAATGTGAATGACCCCCACTAAAATGTATGTACAAAATAAGTGAACCCCCTTCCCCTTCCCATAATTTCTAAGCATAATTTTAAATCATATTTTTATGTACAAAATTGCTGACCCCCAGTTAGTGTGTACAAAATTGCTGACCACCCCTAGCTCCCAGGAACAAAATGGGTGACACCCCCCCTACCCCCCAAAAAATCATCATCACCCTCCCCCTAGCCATAAATTATGAACGATCCCTAAAGGCTCAAGTCAAATAGTGAGTCACTTCTTAAACCCTACAAAACAATTGAAACGAATATGAAGTAATAAAAATGTAAGGCAGTAATCTTGACAAAGTAGGTTGCCTGGCAGTGATATTAATTTGATACTAGTGGGTTGCATCTAACAGATTACGTGTTGATATAGACTGAACATGTTGATATAGACTGTAACTAAAAACTACATAAAACACATTCCCTCAGTAAATCCCTCTAGTTTACTTGATAAACAACACATTCCCTCAGTAAATCCCTCTAGTTTACTTGATAAACAACACATTCCCTAAGTAAATCCCTCTAGTTTACTTGATAAACAACACATTCCCTAAGTAAATCCCTCTAGTTTACTTGATAAACAACACATTCCCTAAGTAAATCCCTCTAGTTTACTTGATAAACAACACATTCCCTAAGTAAATCCCTCTAGTTTACTTGATAAAACAACACATTCCCTTAGTAAACCCTCTAGTAAATTCTAGTTTACTTGATAAACAACACATTCCCTTAAATCCCTCTAGTTTGCTTGATGAACAACACATTCCCTAGTAAATCCCTCTAGTCTAAACAACACATTCCCTAAGTTTACTTGATAAACAACACATTCCCTAAGTAAATCCCTCTAGTTTACTTGATAAACAACACATTCCCTTAGTAAATCCCTCTAGTTTACTTGATAAACAACACATTCCCTAAGTAAATCCCTCTAGTTTACTTGATAAACAACACATTCCCTTAGTAAATCCCTCTAGTTTACTTGATAAACAACACATTCCCTTAGTAAATCCCTCTAGTTTACTTTTAAACAACACATTCCCTTAGTAAATCCCTCTAGTTTACTTGATAAACAACACATTTGACCTGATAAACAACACGTTCCCTAAGTAAATCCCTCTAGTTTACTTGATAAACAACACATTCCCTCAGTAAATCCCTCTAGTTTACTTGATAAACAACACATTCCCTAAGTAAATCCCTCTAGTTTACTTGATAAACAACACATTCCCTTAGTAAATCCCTCTAGTTTACTTGATAAACAACACATTCCCTAAGTAAATCCCTCTAGTTTACTTTTTTAACAACACATTCCCTTCGTAAATCCCTCTAGTTTACTTGATAAACAACACATTCCCTTAGTAAATCCCTCTAGTTTACTTGATAAACAACACATTTGACCTCTTTGCAGCATACTTTATACACACCATTAATCAATTCTCACTAATTTCCATCAAATTTAAACAATCATTAATGTCACGATTCTGGTGCAACTGTCTCCCAGAATGTGTAAATCCAGACAATTTCTCTCAGTGGCTGATTAGTCCACAAACTGATAATCTAAGATCTGAGGGTACTCACGGCTGAGGTAGAAATGAAGTCAATATGGCCATTACTGTCATCATCCTTCTCAAACTCTACAGGGTACATGCTGCTGAGGGCTGTAACATGAAGCATACTGTTACAGGGTGTAGCCTATAGCATGGGTATGACATGTATTGTCTATACAATAAACCATGGTCACTACAAACTCAAAGGGACCATTCATTTTTGTTTGTCATAACTGTAGTTCATTATACGCACTGTCAATGAAAAACATAACCAATTCTCTGGTTCAAAACAGTTTGTGATATCCATCAGTTCGCTATAACCAATCCTCGATAATCTCCAGGGTATACGTTACGATCACTCTCCACTATACCCTGGATGCATCCACGGCTTGGCCCGATGATATTATTACCTCCCTTTGCTGGCTTTTTATCCAATCAGGTGTCTACGCTGGGAAGTTAAGTGAACCAATCACAACTCACTTTCGCTTCTTAAATTATCTAACCATTTAAACTTGGCAACACAATTGATGCAGAGGTACTCTGAAAGAGGTAGAAGGAGTTCTTTCATATATTCTTTTGAAAGTTTCAGATCTGTCAATTTGTCTGTATTATTTCCCAAAAAATATGAGTGGCACTGACTGCGAAATAACCTTCGCGACTGTGAACGCTATCTTTGTTGACACTGGCAAGCTCGGATGTAACGGCGGCTTAGCTGATTGGCTACTGTGAAAATGCGGAGCCAGCAAATGGAGGTAATATAGTTATCGGGCCAAGCCATGGATGCATCCAGGGTATAGTGGAGAGTGATCGTAACGTATACCCTGGAGATTATCGAGGGTGGCTATAACCATGTGCATTCTAAACATAGTTTACTGTACATCTCAGTTTAGCAAAGGCATCACACAAAACTACACCAGCCATTGCTTTTATCAACAGATCAATCAAACTGTGCAAATCAATATACAATCATCTCAAATGAAGATTAACCTTTTGAACATTTTAATTAAAACAAGCATTGTCACTAAGTTGACATAATCCCCCGCCGCAAATTATGAAATCAAACTTAAAAAGTAATGGAAGTGAAGGTCGTAATTTAAGATGAAGTTAATTGTCAACAAAAACATGACCAGTCAACCTCTCTTGATATCTTGTTCTGTAGTTGTTCAAACGCACAAATATTTTCAAGATTGACTTTGACCATGACATGAATGTCTTAGTGTATGAAATATGCAAAAATAGTAATTATCAAGGGAAATCTTGAAAGTCCATGGAGAAAATCCAGTGAACTGTTCTTGAGATATCTTGCTGACAATCTTAACATGTAGTTTAACATGCTGAAATCTTGAAAGTGTCTCTGTGACCTTGACAATTATGTGAAGGTCACCAAAATCGACTGGGCCCTGCCCCTTCCCTGGATGAAGCTGGATGTCAAATATGAAGAAAATCTAGTTAACGGTTCTTGAGGTATCTCGCTGACAAGCATAACATGCAGTTTAACATGCTGAAATCTTCAAAGTGTCGCTGTGACCTTGAAAATTCAGTGAAGGTCACTAAAATCACCTTCCTAGGTAAAGCTTGGTGTTGAATATGAAGAAAATCCAGTGAATGGTTCTTGAGATAGCTCGCTGACAAGGGTAAAACGTTAAAGTCCCATTGTGACCTTGAAATGAAGGTCAAGGTCACCAATCCTGACTGGGACCTTTCTTATACTGTGATGAACCTAGGTACCTAATATGAAAAGAATCTAGTCAACAGTTCTTAAGATATTCCAATTCGTACGTACGGATGGACGGACGGAGCCTAATACTATAACCCCCGCTTCGCGCTAAACCCGCGGAGGGGGAAAATGAGCCAATGCAATTTCTCACCCTCTGTGACCTTCCCAGCTTGACATACGCCCTTTAACTTCTGACCTGCCTGCACTACCTCATCACCGCCGATGTCTTCTTCAGCAGGTGACTTGTCTGCAGTCTCGTCAGTCTCAATCCTCTGAACACCACCAAACAACAGGTGATATGGTGAGTCTCTTTATTCCAACCATATCAGAGGGAGGCACCAAGAATGGGCCTTCCTCACATCAAGCCATTACCTTAAACACTAGGTAAGTTACTATCATCATAACTTATGTTTATTTCACCTGGATCAATAAAGAGAAAGTCTTTAATCCTTAGCTTGCTCTTACTACAGTGAATTTGATGTATACAAAACTCTGTAAAATCCATGTACACTTCAGATTTTACAATCTTGGACAATACAATCTTTTTCCAAATTACGTTGCCATTAGCACTTAGTTTCTCTCCATCACGCAAGGTAGTTCCAGACATAATGCAAAACTACAAGAGCCAAAAACTGACCTAAACAGTAAAAATGAAATGCTTTCATGATAATTTTTACTACAATATGTCTTGAAAAGGTAAACCTATGAAGGAGTGTAAAACAGTTGAAGGGAGACAACTTTTGTTACCTTGTTGGAAGGTGAGAATGGAGGGACTGTCACACTGGCAATCAGTGGCAGAATGTTGGCAGCCTCCAAGTCCTGCAACAGTGGTCAGTGAAAACGGTGAACCATATCATCAATGTTTGAGAGGTCAGCTTGTCAATTATTTTTATCTCGAGACATAAAAACTAAATCATTAATGATATCAATTACTTTCCCTGTCCCTGCATCATACACATCATGATGATCATTTTCAAGTTCTATACAGGTTGATTTGGTCTAAAACAGAGCTGTCTATATGAAAAAGTACATCCAAATCTGGGCCGGTCTTTACCTTTTATATGAATGGGAACACATTTGTATTTCCACAATGCAAGGATAAGTTAAAAGATTGAACTGAAGTGTATTAAGCTGCAGCGAGATGTGCTCTAGGACTGTGTACACAGATATCTGATTTAGAGTTGCCATGAATGCCCCAGTACCTCTCTCGGCCATGGCACCCCCATGATGTCAGCCAGCAGGCGAGCTGTGCTGGACACGTACACCACATGACTGCAAACAGAAGTCACAAACATCTACACTATATCTCACATGGCTGCAAACAGAAGTCACCAACATCTACAGTATATCTCACATGGCTGCAAACAGAAGTCACAGCACTATATCTCACATGGCTGCAAACAGAAGTCACCAACATCTACACTATATCTCACATGGCTGCAAACAGAAGTCACAAACATCTACACTATATCTCACATGGCTGCAAACAGAAGTCACCAACATCTACATTATATCTCACATGGCTGCAAACAGAAGTCACAAACATCTACACTATATCTCACATGACTGCAAACAGAAGTCACCAACATCTACACTATATCTCACATGGCTGCAAACAGAAGTCACCAACATCTACACTATATCTCACATGGCTGTTCATGCCTTAAAACAGGAACTAAATAGAAAGGCAGCTACAAAGGATAAGTATTTCATAACTGTCACGGCATGATTTGCCTTCAGTTGCAGGTAACCAAATATACTTCTGCATCGGAATGGACCTTGCCTTCTCGTTTTGTGTGTTTGTTGGTTAACGCCACACTCAGCAATATTCCAGCTATATGGCAGGCCTTTCAAATTTTCGTACTTTACTACAAATGTGAAATTCCAAATATCTAACCACTTTCTAAATATTGTCTACTCATAGTTAGGTCATGGGAGCTGTGCTAATTTACACTGATCAGAGGGGTAGATAAAGTGAAATCTAGAGGAAGACAAAGTATGCAATCAAGACTGACGGATGTTGAATTCCACTTTTGTGGAAGCCTTCACGGGTGAGTGGGCCAGGTCATTGACTCTGTGTGCTGGTGACTAGGTGCCTCACGCTGAGAGAGTGGGTTTGAATCCCCAGATGGGACTTCACCCCCAAACTACTACTAGATTTTGTACTTTACTGTGAAGGTGTAATCCAAAATATAACATGAGTTGTGAGCTAAGCTGTAGGGATATCAAGTATGTTGTGCGACTGCATGATCTATAGTCCACATGTACAGTGGAGAAGGCCTCATAAAGGACACTTACTCTTCATCATCAGGGTTGAACTCCAGAGGTGTTGGTGGTCGTTTGGGGGACTGCCAGAATGGGCCTGCAACCAGAACCTACATGTATCTCCAGAGCTAAAACCTTTATTGGTTAGGCAGGTATAAATCATCTTATCATCTTAAACGATAGGATCTGTCTATTGTGTTCTTATTCTAACAACAGCTCTGAAGAGATGGGTAATATCAACTGAGAAATGTACTTCCTTGTCCAAGCTGGTGAACTTACTTCCATCCTGCAGCTTGGTGTCTAGTGGGAAGGCATGCAGAAGTTGCTGGGCCTGAAATGTACAACATACAATGACTGACTACATGACAATATTGATCCACACCACCAGTACACCATGACACACAGTCAGCTCGGTCCGACATTGTAATCATTTGATCCTCCATACTCAGCTTGCTGTGGACTCTATAGTTATTCTATAAACAGGTGAGTGAGTGAGCGAGTTTAGTTTTACGTCACACTCAGCAATATTCCAGCTATATGGCAGCAGACTGTAAATAATCGAGTCTGGACCAGACAATCCAGCGATCACCAGCATGAGCATCGATCTGTGCAATTGGGAACCGATGACATGTGTCAACCAAGTCAGCAAGCCTGACCACCCGAACCCATTAGTCGCCTCTTACGACAAGCATGGGTTACTGAAGGCACATTCTAACCCGGACCTTAACAGGTCTATAAACAGGTACCCGTGGACATATTTTTTTTAAAATGTCAATTCATATTGAATCTTAACATGGTCTGCTGTTGGTCTTGAACTCATGCAGAAATTTAATAGAACAACACGTTAATCTGAAATTGAATCTTAACATGGTCTGCTGTTGGTCTTGAACTCATGCAGAAATTTAATAGAACAACACGTTAATCTGAAATTTGGGTTATTCTTGGATAAAAAACAGCCAATCAGCAAGAAGCAAATATTTGTAATAAATTACTAAAAAGGTATCATTTTTCACCAAATTGTCCAATTCTGTCCAATGTTCAAGGCATGGGAGGTAACACAATTGTGTTCAGGTGCCGACACATATTGTGCAAAGAGCTGGACTGAGCATGGTCACAAATGTCCTAATTATCCCGGCACCATACACATAAGAATATGTCAAACAAGGAACCTTGACGCAATCAGGACCAAACGGAAACTGTATAAAGCAAGCTTAAATCCACACTCACTCAATCACTCACTCCCAGTGTTCTACTGACCTTGTGGTTGAAGTATTTTTCAAATTTGATTCTCGCTAGCGTGACACACTGTGGCCAGGTGTATGCCCTCTGAGCTGATAGTTTGACTATGTTGATGGAGTTCTCTATATTGTTGCCCAGCAGCAGTGTCTACAGTGGAAGGAGAAGACATCACTACTCAAGTCTAGTGTACGAGTAACAACTGTCAATGGCTTGGTGGACAACACTTAACATTGATGCCACTCTACACCATCACAGATTTAATATAAAAGGTAGTGCCACAGCACAGTAGCTAACCTGGATATGTAGTCAAAGTCAGTTAAGACAGGCACTTGACAAATGTCATGAATTTCACAAAAACTAAACAAATACATTTGATTCATTTTGTATAAACATGGCATAGGAATGGCACAAATAGTTATTTCAACACTGAAAATCAGCTTTAGGGATTCCTGATGAAATAAAAGTATTCCCAGAAATTATTGAGAGTTGTTTTGGCATATATCTAATACATGTATGTAAACTATAGAAGTTTTACTTCAATGAATATGTTGAGATATGATTCTCTTACAGTCTAAGTATCTTTTCAGTACTTTGTGAGACCTCCTTGCCCTGCAATACAGGACTGAATGTGCCTAGGTACACTACCGATCAAAGTTTGTAGGAAATCATGTGACAGCATATCCCAATATTCAACCACTTCTTTCTTCATATCTTCAATATTTCTAGGTCCTTATTGGTTTATTCTGTCCTTCATTAGTCCCCACACATTTTCAATAGGGTAAAGATCTGGGCTGTAGCTGGGCCAGTCTAAAACTTGAACATTTTTGTCTGACAACCACTGTTTTGTGTAGCCCCCAGTGTGTTTTGTGTCGTTATCATGCTGGAAAATCCAATTACCTTCATACAGTGTTCAGGCCATTGAAAGGAGGTGATCATTTAAGATGTCAACATATCGTTCCTTCATCAAATTTACAGTGAAAATACACAACAGTGTCACTCCATGTGCTGATATCCCACCCCACATGTGAAATTTCAGGCTATGTTTTGGGCATTGGTAGATAGGTTTCACGGTATCTTTTGTCCAACTTTTCACACAGTTCAGAAAAAGCCAGACAGAACTTTCATCAGAAAATGAAACATTATCCCAATCTTAATTTTCGTGAGCCCTACACCAGTTTTAACATCTTTCTTTTTGTGCATCAATTTTGTTTCATCAATGGTGAGGGAATTCTGTGCTTTTTCACCCAGTTAAGTCTTTGTAATTCTTGTCTAATGGTTTCATTACATACATGAGGACTTCCTCTATTTATCATCTAATTTCTGATATTCTCAATGCTTTTCAATTTTCCCCTACTGACAATCTGACCAAGTCGCCGGCGATCCATAGTACTGAAGTTACTTGGCCTCCCTGCCCCTATCTTGTGCTCAATCCCAACTGCTGACTAAACATTCTTCAAATTTCCGTGAACTGAGGTATACTGTAGACAGTGGAATGTCATGTCCACCAGCTAACTCTTTTGCATTAGTCACACCCCTTTCAAATTCATCTAGAACCAGCTGTCAAATGTGCCATGTCAACAAAGGAAGCTGTCTGCTACACCCAGGGAGATAACTCTTGATGTAGAAAGGTTCATTCTTAAGCCTGCAAGAGTTGCCTCCCATATTGAGTACCTTACATGATGAAACACCTGTTTTAAAATTCAGTATTAGGAAACTAAACATTTTCTCAATAAGTTCTGGGAAAACTGTATGTTTATGACAAACAATGGATGACTGACAACAAATATGACATGACCTTAGTTGACATTCTGACAGGTGAATAAAATATGAAATAAGTTACATTTTGTCATCAAGTCAACGTGTTTGCAAGTACCCGCATAAAAAGAAACAGACCCTTTATTCTTACAGACTAAAGAACATGCCTCTGCACTTTTCCCTTCACTTTGATGGACACATACCTACAACAGCCTTTAACTCGTACCTTGCCTCAGACTAACATACTAGTAGACAAGCACATCTGTACTGTGGGAACAATGAGGCCTACACACAGTTCTGTGGCAGTACAGCAGCTGTACCACTGCCACATGTGTATCACTATACTGTGTTTCAGGACTGCATTAACAGGTAACTCACCTCTACAACTTCCTCCACATTCTTGTTCATGGACCAAAATTTATTAAATAGGTTAGGTTTCTGTACAAATAGTTGTTCAAACTGAAAGGAAAGAAAACAACATTGAGGGTTTTATTGTGATCCACACGACAGAGCAGGCTCTGGGGCCAACCTGCAGAGACGGGTGACCCATGGACCTTAAACATCACTATTTTGTAGCAGGATGTGTGTAAACTGTATATTGTTGGACTTTAATGCATCCTATATTATCGTCTGATTGTATGTATTTCTGCTGACAGTGTCAACACAGTAGATACCTTATCTCTGGACCACTGTATACAGTGTTCTATGGTGGCAGGGAATGACTTGACTGTACAATAGGGGTAATCCTCATCTGGGGGGTCCCTCTGGAATAGTGAAATAACATGAGCATCATTTAAAGATATTGCATTATTTGCCATGGAAAACGTTGACATTTAATCCAGTGTGGGTAAGGAAAAATTTGACAGAGGCCATTTTGAAGTGAGAGTTTAGTAAAAATGACTAATATATATACTTTGAGACAGTCACCCACCTGACTACCATAGGACTCGGTGAGGTGGGGTACAATGACCTGTACGTGGCCCTTGGTTCCCATTGTACCCGACTCTAAGAGGGGTCTCTGGGTTGTCACACAACGGCTGAAATGAAATAACATCTGTCCAAGAACGTGGAAAACATTACATGTGGCACAATGACTGTGTCTGATACAGAAAGGTACATATAATCTTTCTTCAATCATTGCAGTTCATTTCATCTAATTTAATGTTTATGGACGGACACAATCTTGCAGAAATGCTATTCACATTTCTGCAAACGAAATGTTTATAAATACTGCTTTGAGCATTTGTGTCTACTGTGTAGGGGATGTGCCAAATGTACGCCATGATTGAAAATATACATTATGGAGACATGAGTGCAAGGTCCTACCTGTCGACATAGCGGCGAGCCTCCACATTGTCCAGGGCGTTCACCACAATGTCCTGACTCTCAAAGAAGGCATCATTGTACAGCTTCTCTTCTGTCTGGGGGCACACTGGGGAGACACAGGACAACATACATTCTGCTGCTGCTTCTACTGTGAGGCGCTAGTAGTTTTCATTTGGAACTGTAATTGTGGTGGTTATCAGAGTCATTTACTCTTCACAATGATGTGGGAAGTGTCATGTGACATGGAGGGAGGAAGGGAGATTACATCACTATGAATATCTTTATAGTCACACCAGTCAACTTCATGTTGCAGAAAGAAAGCAAATATGAAGGTCAGAGATGTTTGCCATTTAATGAAACCGCAAGCATGGGTGAGGAAGGGTTAAGAAGTAATGTTGTTTGCTGTTTAATGCCACACTCAGCAATATTCCACAAAGACGATGTCAGCCTGTACATAACTGATTCGAGACCACACAAACAATCCACTCACTCACACAGTATCAAGAATATCACCGAGCATGTTTCTCTGATTCATCAGTTAATTTGCTGGTTCCATACTACAAGCATGTTTCTCTGATTCATCAGTTAATTTGCTGGTCCCATACTACAAGCATGTTTCTCTGATTCATCAGTTAATTTGCTGGTCCCATACTACAAGCATGTTTCTCTGATTCATCAGTTAATTTGCTGGTCCCATACTACAAGCATGTTTCTCTGATTCATCAGTTAATTTGCTGGTTCCATACTACAAGCATGTTTCTCTGATTCATCAGTTAATTTGCTGGTTCCATACTACAAGCATGTTTCTCTGATTCATCAGTTACCGGCAATTTGCTGGTTCCATACTACAAGCATGTTTCTCTGATTCATCAGTTAATTTGCTGGTCCCATACTACAAGCATGTTTCTCTGATTCATCAGTTAATTTGCTGGTTCCATACTACAAGCATGTTTCTCTGATTCATCAGTTAATTTGCTGGTTCCATACTACAAGCATGTTTCTCTGATTCATCAGTTAATTTGCTGGTCCCATACTACAAGCATGTTTCTCTATGTTTCTCTGATTCATCAGTTAATTTGCTGGTCCCATCATACTGATTCATCAGTTACCGTAATTTGCTGGTTCCATACTACAAGCATTTTCTCTGATTCATCAGTTAATTTGTCAAACTACACTGGAATCCTACAAGCATGTATTTCTCAAGGTCAAAGCTGGAATCCCGATGTGGTGTCATTAAATAGAAGGATGACTTAGCCTGAACTCATGTAAGTTTGAAGGCATGTGGTAGTTCATGTTCATGAGGATATCCAAAAACCATAATCTGGACAAAAGTACCTTTTTGTTGCTGTGCTTCTATCTTCAGTGCTGCAGACAAAAAGCAAGATGAACATTAGACTCACTGACTGCATGATTCTGATGACACTAAAGCTATCAATATTGTCCATATATTGTGAAATATTATGTCTGTGTCAAATCAGTGTAACCATAACAGATAGGATATGCAGCCAGTATATTCTGTTTCTTTTCTTTACTATAAGTTAGAACCCCCTTGTAATTCACAGCTGCTGTTGCTTCACTGTTAGGTCAACTGTACAACAGTGCTGACGGTGTATTTCACAAAGAGCTTGTCAGAGTTCGGGGACATTTTGTCTCTCATTGCTAGACTGATAAGTAAAATATGCAGGACACTGGCAAGTCAGGTTGGCTGTCTGACCTGATGGTTAAGTGAATCTGAAACAAAATGTAAGCATATAAGACTGTCATTGATTTCTACCTACCTGGATTAATGTCCAGGACAGACTGAGCTGCTGTTGTGGACTTGGGTTTCTGAAACATGCCCAGACAAATCAAACAATGGCTGTGTTTATGTAGAAGTATAAGTTAAAGGAAATCAAGCGAGAGCTTCTGTTACACCTTCAATATCAGACAAAGACTTAACTATAAAGAGATTCTGTTACACCTTTAAGACACATCAGGCACAGAATGTAACTACATACAGATTCTGTTCCACCTTTAAGAACACCAGACACAGGCTGTAACTACATACAGATTCTGTTACACCTTTAAGACACATCACACACAGGCTGTAACTCCAAAGAGATTCTGTTACACCTTCAAGACACATCACACACAGGCTGTAACTCCAAAGAGATTGTGTTACACCTTCAAGACACATCAGACACAGGCTGTAACTCCAAAGAGATTGTGTTACACCTTCAAGACACATCACACACAGGCTGTAACTCCAAAGAGATTGTGTTACACCTTCAAGACACATCACACACAGGCTGTAACTCCAAAGAGATTGTGTTACACCTTCAAGACACATCAGACACAGGCTGTAACTCCAAAGAGATTCTGTTACACCTTCAAGACACATCACACACAGGCTGTAACTCCAAAGAGATTGTGTTACACCTTCTAGACACATCAGACACAGGCTGTAACTCCAAAGAGATTGTGTTACACCTTCAAGACACATCACACACAGGCTGTAACTCCAAAGAGATTGTGTTACACCTTCAAGACACATCAGACACAGGCTGTAACTCCAAAGAGATTCTGTTACACCTTCAAGACACATCACACACAGGCTGTAACTCCAAAGAGATTGTGTTACACCTTCAAGACACATCACACACAGGCTGTAACTCCAAAGAGATTGTGTTACACCTTCAAGACACATCAGACACAGGCTGTAAATCCAAAGAGATTCTGTTACACCTTCAAGACACATCAGACACAGGCTGTAACTCCAAAGAAATTGTGTTACACCTTCAAGACACATCAGACACAGGCTGTAACTCCAAAGAGATTGTGTTACACCTTCAAGACACATCACACACAGGCTGTAACTCCAAAGAGATTGTGTTACACCTTCAAGACACATCACACACAGGCTGTAACTCCAAAGAGATTCTGTTACACCTTCAAGACACATCAGACACAGGCTGTAACTCCAAAGAGATTCTGTTACACCTTCAAGACACATCAGACACAGGCTGTAACTCCAAAGAGATTGTGTTACACCTTCAAGACACATCACACACAGGCTGTAACTCCAAAGAGATTCTGTTACACCTTCAAGACACATCAGACACAGGCTGTAACTCCAAAGAGATTGTGTTACACCTTCAAGACACATCACACACAGGCTGTAACTCCAAAGAGATTCTGTTACACCTTCAAGACACATCAGACACAGGCTGTAACTACACAGAGATTATGTTACACCTTCAAGACACATCACACACAGGCTGTAACTCCAAAGAGATTCTGTTACACTTTCAAGACACATCAGACACAGGCTGTAACTAGACAAAGATGATGTTACACCTTCAAGACAGGCACAGGCTGTAACTACACAGACTCTGTTACACCTTCAAGACACATCAGAGACAGGCTGTAACAACACAGAGAAAAAACAGATTCAGCAACACTCTCAAGACATATCAAACACATGCACTGAAGAACTGTGTGAGTGAGTGAGTTTAGTTTTACGCCACTTTTGGCAATATTCCAGCAATATCACGGCGGGGGACACCAGAAATGAGCATCACACATTGTGCCCATCTGGGGAATCGAAGCGAATGCCTTAACCACTAGGCTATCCCACGGCCCCTACTGAAGAACAGAAGTAGAACAGCAGGACATATTTGGACATAAGTGTTGTCTCAGTTATCATCACCAGTTACCACACTGACATTTGACTACACCCGGGACAGCACTGTCACCTACCCTGATGTGATGAGGTCTGAACAGGAACTGTCTGTTGAGATTTGACTTCTCTATCAGATCATTGTCAGTGATTGTTATCTGGAAAGAGAAATATGTTTTACGTCTCCTTTACATATGAAGAATACTTCAGGAACATAAACTGCAATGGAGAAAATATTATCAATGATGTTATTTGTTACAAAAATCTTCATTGCCCATGTTGAGTCGTCATTACTTTTGTGAAGTCAAAACCAATATATAACATCAGCCTCTGAATTTTGACTGCAAAATTGTTAAACAATTGTTAAGTTTTACAGATAAAGCATAAAAATAGTAGAATTAGAAGGATTAGAAAGTCGGTTTGGTTTGATGCTGCACTGGTCAGTATGTCAATTATATCATATGATTCAAGACAGTTCATTCTGAGGGAAAAACAGACCCGAGATTAGTTAAGTGTGCTGACTTACCTTGCCCTTAACTCCAGAACCAATCCCCATCAGGGCATAGTTTTTGAGCATTTCACAGCCAATAGCTCCACATCCAATCTGTCAACAGGCACAAGCTTAACATACATCCAGCTGTATAATATAACATTAAACATAGTAATAAACAATAAACAGACAGTTTTATTACCCCACTGGACGGTCCAGTTTGCAATTATTCCAGGCCACGTGTTCTGGCATGTGTTATCTCCCTTTGCCAACGTCACCACTTTCCTGTTCACCCTTCTTATATATCCCAGCTTAGGCAATGTGTCATATCTTGTATTAGGATTAACCATTACTTACCTTTTAGGATTAGCTATTACTTTCTGACATATTTGTACGTTTGCTCAAACTTGAGTGGCCATTATTCTGAGATGAAATGACCAGCTCCAGTTCATATCCCACAAAAGGTGTTACTAGGTAAAATGTAGTAAGTTTCCTGAATTGAGATATGTGTATGCCAGCATATTTGGACATGTGCATTCTCAATGCCGATTGGTCCAGGCATCATTGTTGAGAACATATCACATCTAGTATCAATTTCTCACCAAAACAGGAAAATAAGGAAATCAGAAATTTATAGAATAACCAGATCAAAATTATGGTTTATCTGCTAGTCCCTCATTGAAGACAAGGAAGGTTCTTCAATGACCTGACAAAGTTTTTCCTAGTTCTGTGATGACTATTCAAGTTACAGGGAAAAAGGCAGTCAATAGTTAGAGAGACATATTCTGAATAATAACGAAAACACATGAAGTGCATGCCACATAGCAATGTTAGTGCTGGAATGAATGCCATACATTAAATTAGACAACAATCATAGTGACAGTCACAACTGAGACTTATGTGGGAAGAATATCAGACGATGTCATGACTGCTCAAGCCTTAAAGCAAACAACATATTAGAATATTCATGATATTGGTAGACATATCCTGACACAAAATATTGCAATTTCCTCATTCACTTTGATCATGACACAGAGCCCCAAAACATGTGTTAGTGAGGATATTGCTGAAACATTGCCAGTGTGACTATAAATCTCAGCTCACTTAATCACTGGATCTGGGGTCACACATCACTTCACACATATATCCTGGACTTGGTTCAACCAACATTCTTCTAACGTGTTTGCCTGAAGACAGTATACGTTTGCACTGTGATTATTCTGACATGATTCTCTTGGTAAGGATCTCTGTCAAAGACAAAGATTATCTACATAAAAGACCACATTCCTAGTCTCTCACCATGAATAGTTTGATGTTGGCCAACTTCTGACATGCATCGTCTCCCACACAAGCCCTCAGCAGGTCATAGCGGTCTCCCCTGGTCCAACACATACAAGCATTCAGTGTAAACTATCAACATGAAGGGTTCAGGAAGAATAGGTGCAACAAGACAGGACTCTGTAAATGTGAAGTACAGCTGCTACATGATGCTGACACTGTATGGGGTTGTGCAGTACAGCTGCTACATGATGCTGACACTGTATGGGGTTGTGCAGTACAGCTGCTACATGATGCTGACACTGTATGGGGTTGTGTAGTACAGCTGCTACATGATGCTGACACTGTATGGGGTTGTGCAGTACAGCTGCTACATGATGCTGACACTGTATGGGGTTGTGCAGTACAGCTGCTATATGATGCCGACACTGTATGGGGTTGTGCAGTACAGCTGCTATATGATGCTGACACTGTATGGGGTTGCACAGCTGCTATATGATGCTGACACTGTTTGGGGTTGCAGTACAGCTGCTATATGATGCCAGTACAGCTGCTATATGATGCTGACACTGTATGGGGTTGTGCAGTACAGCTGCTATATGATGCTGACACTGTATGGGGTTGTGCAGTACAGCTGCTATGATGCCGTTGCTATGTGTTTGGGGTTGTGCAGTACAGCTGCTATATGATGCTGACACTGTTTGGGGTTGTGCAGTATATGATGCACACTGTTTGGGGTTGTGCATGACAGCTGCTATGATGCCGACACTGGGGTATGTGATGCTGGGGGGTTGTGAACAGTACAGCTGCTATGTGATGCTGACACTGTATGGGGTTGTGCAGTACAGCTGCTATATGATGCTGACACTGTATGGGGTTGTGTAGTACAGCTGCTATATGATGCTGACACTGTTTGGGGTTGTGCAGTACAGCTGCTATATAATGCCGACACTGTATGGGGTTGTGCAGTACAGCTGCTATATGATGCCGACACTGTATGGGGTTGTGCAGTACAGCTGCTATATGATGCCGACACTGTATGGGGTTGTGAAGTACAGCTGCTATGTGATGCTGACACTGTATGGGGTTGACACTGTATGGGGTTGTGTAGTACAGCTGCTACATGATGCTGACACTGTATGGGGTTGTGCAATGTATCTGCTACATCATGTATACCCTGTATGGGGTTGTGTAGTATATACCTGGTTTGAAACTGCTGCTTGTCAGCGTCGAGGCCAGGCAGGATCTCCATGGCATCCAGATAGAGCTGCAACACAACAAATTACTGATTCACTACCAAGGATTCCCACCAGATTATTAGTCACATTTTACTCAGGTGATGAAACTAATTGCCATGGAAACGCCCAAAAAATTTTTATTCAGAATTCCAAAACTACCAAAAGGCACCAGTACACCACCAGATCTATCTATGTGCTAAGTTTGGTGAAGAAATATAGAATGGTTTTAGAGTTCTGCTTCGGAAAAGACAAATGTGCACGGACGGACGGAGTCCATTTTAATACCCCCCGCAAAACGCGTTGCGGGGGATAACAAGTCATTGTGTACAGACAAAGACAGCATTATTGAACAATGATCCTAACTTCTATATGACCCAATGCTTAACCAGCTGTCTAGAAGTGCTGGAGCTTCATGTGTATTTCCTAGATCTTGTTCATCAGACAGACAGACAGAAGTATTCTATTTAAGTGTCACATGACAGTTACAATAGGTATAATCAAGGTATTTAAACTATTTCTATGTATGCATACAATGTATAAACCATACACATTTTAATATCCATAACTAAACAAAACACATCAAGTAATTGACAACTGAATTAGCGGTACTCCTGCCAGTCTGCAAAACATTAACCTTCCGACAACTTGGATTATGGTGTTCATATTCCACACATGACTCTTTCGGAAATTTCCACAACCTATTTATTGGAACACAGAAGCAGCATGCACCCCAGCTGAACTTTGCAAGCATTTACTGGTATGTTTCTGGTATGAGTCCGTACGACAAAATATTTTCAGATTTATAACAGTTTATAACAACATCCATATTTATAACAGTACCTATGAATAACCTGATGATGCAAGCTGCAGTCAAGCTTTATAAATGTAATCTGTCAGTAAACAAATTCTCAAACACAATTACATACAGATCAGGACTCATTACATATGCTACAACAATGTTACAAACATGTTCCCAACATCATCAATGAACTTAGTTGTCATGAAAATCAAGCATACATGATCATCAAACACAGAATATTTGTAGACAAATCATTTGTCATAATGAAAAATTGGATATTTTTGGGACATGGATCAAGGAGAAACCATACATATGTTCCAAAGATTAAAAACAGATGATTAAATGCCGTTTGGCACAAAATCAATAATTGAACAGTATTGATTTCTGATATAGGACCTTATCTTGTTGAGTCATCAGAACTAACAACCTTCTACAAGCCAGGAAAAAACATCACACGGATACTGCTGTGAAAATCCTCATTCAAAGGGTTTTTAAAACCAAATACAGCACCTGGAAAGAATACAGTGTTTGCGAATCAAAGATTAAAAGATCAAATAAATTCTTAGAAAAAAAAGATTTTTTTGAAAAACACAATCCAGATTCTTCATCTTTTGTAATTTTCTCTTTGAACTGTACAAGACATACTGAATGAGTGTTTGGGCCAAAGAAAATAGTTTCTCTCTGGTAAATGACCTTTAGCTGAAAAACATGCTGATTTAACTGATACTGGTAACAAGATTACCCAAATTATTCACTGAATACTTCAAAAGGAACAATTACATGTATTGTTAGTAATTGTTAGTAAACTTACCTCTGGATTATGGTAGCCTTATTCCTGTGGATACACAGAATACAAACAGAAAATCAAAAGAAATTTTAACACTAAGTCATAGCTATTCCTAGTGGTATACCTAATCTACCCCTGGGTTATCTCCCTTGATCCTGTATTGTTCCAATGGATCCGGTACTGGGCTCACAAACATTGGTATCCGAAAATTCCTGGAAGTCGTAAACAGATCTATGTTTGGAATTTCCCACGTCTGTCCTATCAAATCGAATGCCTCTTCCTTGAGAGTTCATTTGGTTGAGATCACTCTGTCCTGTCGAGATAATGAGTCCTCTAAGATATTCTTCCGACCTGGAATGTGGTGAGCTCTGATTAAACAATTTATAGCGTCCACTGCTTGATACAGATCCTGAGTGATCCCGAGGAGCTGTTGGGATTTGGTACCTCCCTGTTTGTTGAAGTAAGCCACTACCGTAGAATTGTCACACTAACATGAGACTCTTCCCGTACAAGCGATTCCCCCAGCAAAGGATCGCTTTTAACAGTGCTAACATCTCCAGACAGTTTATATGCAGATTCACCTCTGACAGATTCCACACACCTTGAATTTGCCAGATGTCCATGTGTGCACCCCAACCCGTGTTCGAGGCATCGGCATAAAGCGTCAGATCCGGTAAACGAGGACGTAATGAAACTCCTGGCAACACATTCACGTCCACCGTCCACCATAATATCTCCCTTCGGACTCTGTCTGGAAAAGCTATGAGAAATCCCAAGTCCTCCATCCGAAACTGGTTGAGCCCCATTGGCGGGATTCTTAACCTTAGTCTTCCTCTTACAGTATAATCCTGGATTGAAGTGAGAGATCCTAGAAGGGACATCCATGAACGAACTGACGCAGTTGCAGTGATAAATCTACAAATTCAACTGCCTGAGTCCCGGGACTCACTGAGCTGAATAACTATGAGTCCCTCAGAACTTTTATGAGTCCCTAACAAAAATTAATGCCACAAATATTATTCAAACTGGTTTATTGTTACTATAGGTTGCACAGGTGAGTCTGACCGGTCTGGGATATTTCACAGAACAGAGCTGGTAGTACCTAAATCGTAACAAATGGAGACTCTTCCATTTTAACTTGTAGTTCATACCCTATCACATCAGACACAGATGTTAACAGATCACTGGCAGTGGTTGGAGAATCATAGTTGATTCTACCTTCCTTGAGAATTTCAATGTCTTCGTTTTCAAATTCATATAAAAAGTCAACAAAACGTTTAAACTTAGTCAGTGGGATGTTTTCACAAGCTAACCAATGAACAGATTTCATCAAGGCGACAGCTGCTTTGTCTTGTTTTTCATACATACGTGTAGTTGCAACCTGGAAATCATCACAAAGTTTTGGAGCCTGAACGGACAGTTTATTATTATGATGATGAGATGTCTGGTCAAAGTTATATTTTAAAACTTTCTGCATTTAGCATCTTGTGTCATACCATTTTCAGTACATAGTTTACAAAATATTAAATCACCTTCCCTGTCATAAGTCAGCCATAACCGATGAGTATTCGGCCAATCTGACTGAAATGTCCTAACTTTGTGTTTTCTGACAGTATCTCTCTGGGCGGCATGTCGACTGCTATATTATACAAATAACAGCAGGGCTCTACATGACCTTTGACAAGCAAATGTTTTCTTTTACTAGAAAAATAAAAACGTTACTAGCCAGACCCATGTAATTTCACTGTAATATTTTGTGAATAAAGTTCTACAATTCCAACCAAAGTTTTGTTTTATTTCTTCACTCTGTTCAGTGATTCAAAAACAAATTACATCAAAAGAAATATGCCAACTGGAAGCCACTTTAACAAGTATGAACACAAATAGTAACTGTCTTACTTTAACTATTAACATTGAACGAATTATATCATAACTGTCATTATAATTATAAATGAAATGATTCATTTATATGATTACTTTCCCAGGACTTGAGATTCAGAACCTTAAACAACAGAATGACATTCTATTTCAGCAGAACTTTAACCCTGTCAAATGTCACTTTCACTTTCAAATTACATGCAGATAGATTTAACAGTTGTTCAGCTAGTGACTATAATAAAGCTTCCTTCTTTTCTCTAACTGGTACTGAGAGCTCAGATTTTGTCTTCACACTGTGGATTCAGAGTCACAATGTTCATTGACCAATCAGTTTGTCTTGAAAAACCTCATTTGCATATCGCTTACCTCCCTTAGCGTGTTTGTGTCTATTTATAGAGTTTAAAAACTAGGTTAGTAGTTTTGCACATGCTCGAGCAATGAATCTTGGGATCTCATTTGCATACCGCTTACCTCCCTCGGTGTGACCTATATGTCTATTTTTGGAAACGAGGAAATGAACTTATCATGACGAATGAAAGCTGCGATCGTTTTAAAAATAATGTGTACTTATTAGCTCACGTCAATTATTTGAGAATGGAAGTTAATCTACGAAGCAGCCATGTATACTTTGATATTGCCTCTCCACAAAAATAAACATTAGTGTTTCATCAAAAGCTTGCGTCCAAGAGGACGTACATGTAAAAAAAAAATGAGTCCTGTCAGAATTTATTGCGTCAGAGACGTGGGACGCAGGGGTAGATTTATCCCTGCAGTTGGCCTCTGTAACATGTTGGTTATCTTGGTTGATATTTCCAACCAACGATCCTGAGGAGTATAAATACGGCCTGCTCTTGAGTCCAAGACTGCTCCCAGAAACTTGATTCTCGTGGAAGGGACCAATTCTGACTTGGTAGGATGAACTATTAGACACAGATGCGTAAACATGTGGATCATAAAGTTGGTTTGCTTCATGAGAACCGCTGTCACCACATTCTTTGCGAAGAAATCATCCAGATAACCGTGTATCGCAATCCCTCGTTGATGAAGAAAAGCCAGAATCAGGGAGATTATTTTTGTGAACAACCACGGCGCTAGAGATATTCCGAACGGCAGCACCCTGACCTGAAACCTGCGTCCGTTCACCGCAAATCTTAGGTATTTGCGAGATCTTGGATGAATAGGGATATGAAGATACGCATCCTTTAGATCTAAGCTTATAAACTTGGAATCCTGACGAATCAAGGTGCGTAGGTTTGCAATTGATTCCATCCTGAACTTTGGCGGTTTCCTCAAAAATAACTTGTTCAACACTTTCAAGTCTATTATCATGCGCATTTCGTCCTAATCTTTCTTGGGGACTAGGAATACGGGTGAATAAAACCAGCATGTCTGATCCCCTGGAGGAAGTTCTATGATTGCCCGTTTCTCCAGTAGCTGATTTATTGCTAAGTTTGCTCCCGCTAAACGCTGGTCTTGAAGACAAAACCGACGACCCTCTGGAAAACAAGTCACTGGAGTCTGCTTGTGCCAAGGAAGAATAAACCCCCTGCTCACGACAGACAGGAACCACTCGTCTGATGTTATTAGTTTCCAATTGTCTAAGTATTAGGCCAATCTGCCCCCTACTGGAGATTGTGTCACCGGACATACAAAGTCCAAATCCAATATCATTTCGAGGAACGTTCCGATTCGTAAGGAAGAGAATGTTGAACAGTGAGACTTGAGTCAATATTTCTTGGAAGTTGATCTTGATCCACAAAAGATCTACCTCCCCTACCTCTACTCCTAGAAGAGGATGAGCCTCTAGTAAAAGCCACATTTGTTGAACGCGTTCTTGAATCCGAAGCACGATCAAAGGCAGATCTCTGAAAATTCTGACTACGACTTGTTGAAGATGGAGCAGAACGAGACGTAACACTGGAACCCCTTCTAGATCTAGTGTCAGCCCTTCCTCTATTTTGGAATAAAAGAGCCGACGCCAACCGTTGATTCAAGTTCCTCGACGTCAAGGCATCTCTAGCCTCAATAGCCTGTTGACATTGTCCATTAAAGGTGTTATCCGATTCCAAGGGCTGATCTTGAAACACTGGTGGGAGCAAGGCACAAACTCCCGCAGAAAACCAGTTTGAATAAGATAGGGTATCAATCGCCGAACAGGCTGCCATATCCAATTCCTTACAATCCTTGAAAGTACAGAACGATGCATAGTCACGAGAGCCTCTAGTATCCTGTAACTGTTTAAAGTCCTTGTCTTACCTTGGTTGATTGGCTGGGATAACACGATCATGAATGGAATAAATGGGTTTATGAGAAACCCTAGGCAAAGAACTCAAGTTCGTAGCCTTGGAGAGGCCTAAGTTGTAATTCTCCAACACTTTATTAAGTGATGATGATTGTGGTAATGACAGCCTGGCCATCCGTTCCGGGGGAAGACAACCTGATAATTCGAGTTCCACAGGAATATTTATCTCCTGCTCATCCGACGGCGGTGGTAGAGTATTAGGATAAAGTCCGTGCAAAAGTTCCAGCGTTTCTTTAAATGACCAGCCCGGCTTAAAATCCTGTGCTGACATGTCCATAGGTTGTACCGTCAACTAGCCTTCTTTCATGGAAAACTCCGGTTGTGAAAAAAGGATAAACCGATGAATCCTCCTGGTCTGTCACATCAGACATTAAGGGGATTAAGGGCGGATTGTCTGTGTCAAAATAACCTTGCGGGTCCGTAGCCATGTCCTCTGAACCGCTAGGCCCGTGCAAATCAGACTGCTGGGTTGATACACCGTTATCCATAGCAGCCGTCCCAGTGGCCTGGGTAAAGCCGGGGCGGGAATCACGTGCCGTCTGGACCGAGTCAGACCCGTGAAATGCTTGCAGCCCGGTCTCCCCGTGGGCTTTCCCGGTCATTGCACCCCTGACTTTGGCCCCCGGCTCTTGCCATCGACCACTAAGCCACTGCGGCTATCTGTTGTCTTGCCGGATAAAACAGGATCCTCCAAATGTTTTGACAGGTGATTAAATTTTTCGTCATTCCTCATCTCCATATCCCGCACAGATTTATCCATGGCCCGCCTGGATATCGGACTTAAATCCCGCCAAAAGTTCTGAGAACGCAGATATATCCAACTGGGGAGAGGATTTTTATTTAGATCTAGAATGAGACTTCGGTTCAGATATAATATATAAAGGCGGAGATCCCTGAACTTTCTTCGACTTAGAACATTCTGATGACGATGAATGTTTACGCTACCTAACTAAGGAACGAGATTTGTCCATCAACAACCAATCTTCTTCAGACATTTCCTGACACAATAAGCATCAATCCGAGATTAAGCAAGGTAAGCCTTTATAACAGGAAGCACACAGAAAGTGGGGATCAACATCCGCCATGAATTTCTGACACTGCAAACATTTGCTCTGCGCCATACTTGTCAATCAAAAAAGGGCGGGAAAACTAAATAGATCCTAAATACCTTGGAAATATATCTAATATAAATGCAAAACAGCAATGCGATTGAATATTAAGTGGAATGTGATTTGTAACTGACCTATATATGAAGAATTGAAGTCTTGATTTGAAATGAAATTTCACTCGGTTCTCTGCACGTGTGGACCATACAGAAAAATTATGAAGGGTTCTAGGAGAACAATACAGTGACGTCAGGATCAAGGGAGATAACTTAGGGGTAGATTAGGTATACCACTAGGAATAGCTATGACTTAGTGTTAAACTTTCTTTTGATTTTCTGTATGTATTCTGTGTATCCACAGGAATAAGGCTACCATAATCCAGAGGGAATGTTTACGGTATAATTACAAAAAAGCTGTTGAATGTCACAGTTGTACTTATCTAATTCCCTGGGGTCTTGAACTCACCTACCAGTTCCAGTGAAATTCATCTATTTCTATCACCATTAGCACTCAGATCTGTCAAACATGATGTGTCGAATTCCCAGTTATCTCAAACTCACTTGAGAGTCCCAACTGTCCAAATTAGTCATAAAATTTCCCTGATGACTGGAACAGTTCATAAATAAAGAATACCATCCACAAACACTGGACTGACTTCACTCCAAGTTCCATTATTACAAGGTAGGATGCTAACAACATGGCAATATCCACTTGAGTCTTATTTCCAAGCACATCTTACATCACAGGTGTCAGCCGATTCCTGATTACATATCAGCAACAAGTCACTGAAGATTTCTCACTTCACTGCTGTTGATAAGATAAAACTGAGAAAGGAGTAAAATCGAGTCAGTGTATAGTTCAAGGTATGACTGCTACATAGATGCTGACCCAGATGGGGACAGTGAGTGAGCGAGTGGGTGAGTTTAGTCTTATGCCGCTTTTAGCAATATTCCAGCAATATCACAGCGGGGGACACATTGCTTAACACATTATACACATGTGGGGAATCAAACCCAGGTCTTCAGCATGATGAGCGAACGCTTTATCCACTAGGCTACCCCACCGCCCCTGTATTTAGCAGAAATGAAGAGAGGTTAAAGCCTGTCAACACACCATCTGATTGAGGGGAGTGAACTTCCCCGTCAGGGCCTTGAGTCCCTCCTGGGCCACGAATCCTCCAATGGCAGCACACAGCACTGCCAGGCAGCCTCTAGACGTGAAGGACATTCTTCGAAGAATATCTTCATCCAGGACTGCAACCTGCAACATGCAGATTATCAAACTTACAGTTTGTCTTCAGTTTATGACCTGGCAGATGGATGACTTTGTTCCTTGACATGGCAGATCAATGTCTTGAAAGAAATTCCCTCTGCTGTGAAGCATATCTCCTTCTCATGATAACCAACATGCTGTTATAGCATGGCTGTTGGAGCAGACAAATACCTTACTTACCTACATGGGGTTGGTTAAACTTTAACTCTTAATATTAACTTGGAAATTCTCTATACAATGTTTACAATTGTTTATCTGATTGGTTTTGTGTTTTGGAGTGAGTGAATATTGTTTTACACCACTTTCAGTAGCAGCATGGCGAGGGACATTAGAAATGGGCATCACACATTGTACCCATGTTAGGAATAGAAGCCAGGTCTTCAGCGTCACGAGTGAATGCTTCAACCACTAGGCTACCCCACCGCCCTTTGTGCTTTAGAAATTCTCACAAAAGAAATACTACCTTTGATTCCAATTGCTTGTTAAGGTCAGTTGCCATGGAGATGATTTGACAGGCATCATTAGCACACCTACAACGGAGTAAATGAGGAGACTGCATTAATGTAAATAGCCTGGTTCAGACTTGACAAAGAGGTGGAATCACAGTCAGGGCTCTTGAAGAAATTCAGATGTCATTGGTGGGTACAAGCATCTTCACTGGTCTAGTGGTCTCAGTTGCACTGGTCTGGTGCTTTCTGAGGAGGAGATCTATACTGTGCTGGGGAAAGGTCTCTCTGAGGAGGAGATCTTTACTGTGCTGAGGAGAGGACTTTCTGAGGAGGAGATCTATACTGTGCTGGGGAAAGGTCTTTCTAAGGAAGAGATCTTTACTGTGCTGGGAAATGGTGTTTTGAGAGACTGCTGGAGCATGGTCAAACTATAAAGGTTAAATACAGATAAAAGTAGAAAATAACACAAAAGCTAACTTTATTGGCCTCTCAAAAGAGGTTAAAGAACACCAATTTCACACCACTTCAGTTAATCTGTCAATATTGATGGTGTCAACTGTCTGATGCTTGTTGTAGCTCTGTGAGATCAGTAAAACATGCAAGAAAGGTGTCAACTGTCTGATGCTTGTTGTAGCTCTGTGAGACCAGTAAAACATGCAAGAAAGGTGTCGATTGTCTGATGCTTGTTGTAGCTCTGTGAGACCAGTAAAACATGCAAGAAAGGTGTCAATTGTCTGATGCTTGTTGTAGCTCTGTGAGACCAGTAAAACATGCAAGAAAGGTGTCGATTGTCTGATGCTTGTTGTAGCTCTGTGAGACCAGTAAAACATGCAAGAAAGGTGTCGATTGTCTGATGCTTGAGACCAGTGTAGAAAGGTGTTGATTGTCTGTGCTTGTTGACCAGTAAAACATGCAAGAAAGGTGTCAATTGTTGATCTGATGCTTGTTGTAGCTCTGTGAGACCAGTAAAACATGCAAGAAAGGTGTCAATTGTCTGATGCTTGTTGTAGCTCTGTGAGACCAGTAAAACATGCAAGAAAGGTGTCAATTGTCTGATGCTTGTTGTAGCTCTGTGAGACCAGTAAAACATGCAAGAAAGGTGTCAATTGTCTGATGCTTGTTGTAACTCTGTGAGACCAGTAAAACATGCAAGAAAGGTGTCAATTGTCTGATGCTTGTTGTAACTCTGTGAGACCAGTAAAACATGCAAGAAAGGTGTCAGTGTCTGATGCTTGTTGTAGCTCTGTGAGACCAGTAAAACATGCAAGAAAGGTGTCTTGTTGTAATTGTCTGATGCTTGTCTGTGCTTGTTGTAACTCTGTGAGACCAGTAAAACATGCAAGAAAGGTGTCAATTGTCTGATGCTTGTTGTAACTCTGTGAGACCAGTAAAACATGCAAGAAAGGTGTCAATTGTCTGATGCTTGTTGTACTTGTTGTAAGACCAGTAAAACATGCAAGAAAGGTGTCAATTGTCTGTCTGATGCTTGTTGTACATCTGTGAGACTGTGAGTCTGATGCTTGTTGTAGTCTGTGAAAGTAAAACATGCAAGAAAGGTGTCGATTGTCTGATGCTTGTTGTACATCTGTGAGACCAGTAAAACATGCAAGAAAGGTGTTGATTGTCTGATGCTTGTTGTAGCTCTGTGAGATCAGTAAAACATGCAAGAAAGGTGTTGATTGTCTGATGCTTGTTGTAGCTCTGTGAGACCAGTAAAACATGCAAGAAAGGTGTTGATTGATGCTTCTGTACCTGTGAGATCAGTAAAACATGCAAGAAAGGTGTTGATTGTCTGATGCTTGTTGTACCTCTGTGAGACCAGTAAAACATGCAAGAAAGGTGTCAATTGTCTGATGCTTGTTGTACCTCTGTGAGACCAGTAAAACATGCAAGAAAGGTGTTGATTGGCTGATGCTTGTTGTACATCTGAGACCAGTAAAACATGAATGGTATTGATTGTCTGGTAGTACTTCTGGCTCCAGCTCTGTCAGGCCAGTAAAACATCCATGATCAGTGTAGTGGTTTTTCTTATTCTTGAATGTATGTTTATGAAACCCTCCCATACTGGATAGTAAAACATCCATGATCAGTGTAGTGGTTTTTCCTGTTCTTGAACGTATTCTTTTTTAAACCTTCCCATACGGGATAGTAAAACATCCATGATCAGTGTAGTGGTTTTTCTTATTCTTGAATGTATTCTTTATGAAACCCTCCCATACTGGATAGTAAAACATCCATGATCAGTGTAGTGTTTTTTCTACTTCTTGAATGTATTCTTTATGAAACCCTCCAATACTGGATAGTAAAACATCCATGATCAGTGTAGTGGTTTTTCCTGTGTTCTTGAATGTATTCTTTATGAAACCCTCCCATACAGGATAGTGAAACATCCATGATCAGTGTAGTGGTTTTTCCTGTTCTTGAATGTATTCTTCATGAAACCCTTCCAATACTGGATAGTAAAACATCCATGATCAGTGTAGTGGTTTTTCCTGTTCTTGAACGTATTCTTTATGAAACCCTCCCATACTGGATAGTAAAACATCCATGATCAGTGTAGTGGTTTTTCCTGTTCTTGAATGCATTCTTTATGAAACCCTCCCATACTGGATAGTAAAACATCCATGATCAGTGTAGTGGTTTTTCCTGTTCTTGAATGTATTCTTTATGAAACCCTCCCATACTGGATAGTAAAACATCCATGATCAGTGTAGTGGTTTTTCCTGTTCTTGAATGTATTCTTTATGAAACCCTCCCATACTGGATAGAAAAACATCCATGATCAGTGTAGTGGTTTTCCTGTTCTTGAATGTATTCTTTATGAAACCCTCCCATACTGGATAGTAAAACATCCATGATCAGTGTAGTGGTTTTCCTGTTCTTGAATGTATTCTTTATGAAACCCTCCCATACTGGATAGTAAAACATCCATGATCAGTGTAGTGGTTTTTCCTGTTCTTGAATGTATTCTTTATGAAACCCTCCCATACTGGATAGTAAAACATCCATGATCAGTGTAGTGGTTTTTCCTGTTCTTGAATGTATTCTTTATGAAACCCTCCCATACTGGATAGAAAAACATCCATGATCAGTGTAGTGGTTTTTCCTGTTCTTGAATGTATTCTTTATGAAACCTTCCCATACTGGATAGTAAAACATCCATGATCAGTGCAGTGGTTTTTCTTATTCTTGATTTATGTTTGTCTATGTAACCCTCCATACTGGTTTACATGTATGTGTGGCTACAACTCACCAGATATGGGGTAGTCGTTTGTTGATCTGCAGAAACTTGTCCAGAGCAAGGAATGCAAGGTGGAGATTGGGAGGAGCCTGGAACGTAGAGAAGCATTGAAAATCAGCACATCTGTCAACATTAATAATCTTGTCACAAGTCTCACAAAAACCCACATGAAAAACCATTTGTGTGTTTGGAGCAACATGCTCTTATACATCCTGGATGTCATTCATCTAATTCATCAAATCAGGAAACTCTTGACACATGAACACCCAAGCTAACAAGTAGACTGAAGAATGGTGCACTTCCGGAAAATACAACACAATTTAATCATCAGTGTGACACTCAGTGATAGGGCCTCAGGCTTCAGTCCAAGGTTTCATTATGAATCAGAAGTAGGGTTTCAGGTTCCCATGTATTACCTGGCAGACTTATGATAGTGTGTCATTCTACCCTGAAACTTCCCCAACATGGATACTCACAGTATCAACCACTGGTTTGCCTAACTCACTTACTCAATATGGTGAAAAACAATGGAATGGTTTGTAAACACAACACTGGTAACAGTTTATACACAGATGTTCAAATCTTTACGAATGGCCTCATGGTTGTCAGTTGACAGTAAGGAACTGATAATTCTTGCAGGAATAGCCAATTTCCGATCTAACCATCCCCAAATTAGCCAAATATTACAACTGTCAACAGCTGTGACAGACAAGCATGGTTGTACACTTGGTCCGGTCTGGTAAAGTCATATTTGGCGGTCCCACAATTTGGAACCAAAACTGGTTCTTGAATATACGGTTGTCACCGGAAATCTGGTCCCTGAAGTAAGCTTGGCCCCAGCTCAAATATCGCAAGTTGGCATGCTCAAAGGAAGTAGCACCTCACGAGACTTACAGACCCGATTATTCTAAACATAAACATAGAATAGGACACATCACAAATATAGTTTCTGAAACATTAAAGTAAACTTTCTGTCCCAATACACGCTAAAGAAACAACTCCCACTTCACTTGACAAATTACACGTAACAGTTAATGCTGAACTATATGAATTAACGTGAAACATTTACTCTCATGAACAGTGATTCCATGTTCCGACAATCTATCAGCCCTGCGAGAACCTTTACTGTGAGACAGACATGTGCTAGAGGAGTTGTATGGGCAGTATTGGTACAATGATGCTACCTCAAACAGAACTCGACTCTGGTGAGCTACAGTTCACAAAAGTCATCTTGACATTAGGAATTGATTTCTATGGAAATTGTTCAGGCAAAAGATATCAGTACAGCTGCAAAAAGTGCACCAATGACAGATTAATCAGTTATTTGGGCCAATACAATTTCATATTGCAGAGACTAATTATGGCAATATGTCAGGTTGATCTGAAAACACAACACAAGCATTGTCCATATCACTGACATGTTTTTACTACACAAGACAGAGCCAATTATTCCACAAGCAGGATCCAACTTCAAAGAACTTGGAAAAGGAAAAAAAGGACAACTCTATTGTTCGTAATTAAATTCATTTGCAATTTTTTGGCCATATTATCCAAGTGGATCATCCTGAGGTTGACAGACTGAAATACTTAGCCACATGTGCATCACTAGCAGTGACAGATAAGCAGCATGTAGCTTGTCCATGTGGAATGTGGGTCTTCAGAATCTTTTCCAAGCAGAACAACTTTGGGATGAGTGTTTCTTGTTCTAGTTTACATAAATGTATTCCCCAAAATCAATAAAACCAAACAGAATCCCACTGCTAAAGTATGAAGTACGGTTGCCATATGTCTCAGTATTACATCAATCATTGAAAGCAAATCCATTTAGTTTATTCTGATACTATGCAATTAACTTGACAAAACTGATCATAACTCAGAAGCCATACTTTATCTCAAGACTCATTATCTATATTATGGATGGTTGTTGGTGTTCGTTTCAACCTTGATCCACAGTTGTTTAAGGAATTGCTTCCAATATGACACATAAAATAAAGGTTTTGAAACTTGTGAAATATCAGTGCTAACATTTAATGTGTTTACTGTGCTGAGATACGATGCTAAATTCTATGATGATAAAGAATGTTGTCTACTAACAGTATGGAATTGGCGTATACTCTTGGCACAGAAACATACAGAAGCCAAACTTTTTCAATGCTATGTTGACGTAAAGCAACCCACTGTTGGGCAGGTCATCCACTGCTCCAACCTCAAGTTGTCTGGTTCAATACAGACTGCAGTGGAATAGTTGCAATATTGGCATGGTGTAAAACATTTTGGACTGAAATCAGATCATGACAATATACTAAGGCTTGTCTTGATACATGAGAGACATCAATAATATAATTGTTTATAATATGCCCAGATGTTGCCACCTCTCAAGGATGGCACGGCAATGGTACACACTTTGTCCTTTTTGACAGAGAGTGAGTTTGGTTTTATGCCAATTTGAAAGGTATTTCAGTCAGGTCAGTTTGATCTGGGAGAAAAGTGGGAAGTCTTGCAGTGAGTGAGTGAGTGAGTGAGTGAGTGAGTGAGTGAGTGAGTGAGTGAGTGAGTGAGTGAGTGAGTGAGTGAGTGAGTGAGTGAGTGAGTGAGTGAGTGAGTGAGTGAGTGAGTGAGTGAGTGAGTGAGTGAGTGAGTGAGTGAGTGAGTGAGTGAGTGAGTGAGTGAGTGAGTGAGTGAGTGAGTGAGTGAGTGAGTGAGTGAGTGAGTGAGTGAGTGAGTGAGTGAGTGAGGAGTGAGTGAGTGAGTGAGTGAGTGAGTGAGTGAGTGAGTGAGTGAGTGAGTGAGTGAGTGAGTGAGTGAGTGAGTGAGTGAGTGAGTGAGTGAGTGAGTGAGTGAGTGAGTGAGTGAGTGAGTGAGTGAGTGAGTGAGTGAGTGAGTGAGTGAGTGAGCGAGCGAGGGGGCGAGCGAGTCTAGTTTTACGCCACACTCAGCAATATTCCAGCTATATGGCGGCGGTCCTGGTCTTGCATGTTTATCACTTTGGTGACCCACATGCACACATAATGTATTGACTGTCCAGGCACCCTAATCACAGTTAACCAGTTCTAGGACCCACCATGATGATTTCATTAACACATCTTAGATGACTGGGAAACTCCTGCACCCCCTCACTGGTTCTTTACTGAACATCTTCATAACAGACAGCAAATCTACTTATTGAAAATGTTTTGGATTATGGAAATATTTAGCCAATCTTAAGCAATAAACAAATCCAAGCACTATACATACTGAGTTAATGCACTGAATACGTTGAGTAAAGCACAGATCCTGGCTTCAGTGATATCGATCATGAAACATATTTCACCATTCAGACACATCCAAAACTTCAGCAGTTTTCCTGGAAGTGGTGTTGGCGTCAGGTCAGACTGACCTCAGCCATTGATTTCCTGTGAAATACGACTGTCCATGCAACATTACATGGAGTGACATTGGAAGTGAAATCTCACTGGCTCAATTTCCATCAATCACCCCATATTCACCGAGCATCTAGTGCTGTTTGTCTTGTACACAGCCATCCTTGTGACCCGAGATGTGATTACCTATCAGTCATGCTGTGTTTAAAGCCCTTCAGCCCACAGACACACACATTGACTAAAGTATTCAGCTTTAACTCAGGTATGTCTGGTGTATAACTCTCTTTCTTCAAGGACATGGCTGATTCTGACTTATATACACATGGGTTCTGTGAAAATTAGTTCATAAACTCTTAACTATGTTTAAAAAAAATTTTATTAATGAGGTTTCAGGTTAATCATGTATGAAAGTGTTTCATGTGTGATAAAAGGCAACATATATTCCAACACTTCAAGTGATTGAGTTGCATTGGCATTTTTTAAGGTAAAGAGCAACACACCAATTTCAAACATTCCCAGTGACACTCCAGCGTGTCAGCTGAGGCAGAAAAAGATCAAAGTGAGTTATATCTCAGACATTAATGAGTGTAGTGAAAATCACATGCGTGGTCATGGTTCCCACAAACCTAAAAATGTAATCTGGAATTTGCACCCATAATCCAAGGATTCTGGCCCACTGAAGGGAGGTAATTCTGCACAACAAATAGGTGGGCTCTATGACTGGGTCACACATTCTCCCCATACTTAGTGACAGGGCAATCATAGCTCCCATATTGCAACACAGACTTCTGATAGTTGTACACCTAAGATTGTTTTGTGATAGAGGATCCACCCATCTCAACTCTAGCTCATGGGTACTGAGTTTAAAGTGAACAAGAAGACAAAGTCATCTATATCCCACGCAATGGTAAAAAATACCTCATGAATATGTCAACTGTTTATGGCTATGTCAAATGTATGGTTTGATGTACCTTAGTAATGTTGATACTGGAAATAGAGTGGTACTGTTGATTTATGTCATTAGGTTTTTGGATCCCCACAAAGTGGAAAGAGAGTATTCAAGTATTTTCTCCGGAAAAGAGCACCACCACCAATTTTGGTCAAAGTCAAACTTGTTGCCATGAAAACATTTTATTTAGAAATCCAAAACTACCAAAAGACACCAGTTCATGAGATCACCCCCAGACCTATCTATGTGCCAAGTTTGGTGAAGAAATATTGAATGGTTTTTAGGTTCTGCTCCAGAAAAGAGCACCACCATCAATTTCAGTTGAAGTCAAACTTGTTGCCATGGAAACACAAAAAATATTTTATCCAGGAATCCAAAACTACCAAAAGGCAACAGTTCACCATAAAACCTGTCTATGTGCCAAGTTTGGTGAAGAAATTTCAACAGTTTTTATGTTCTGGTCCGGAAAAGACGAAATTGCATGCATGGACGGACAAAACGTGTTGCTGGGGATAAAAAGGTTCTTGTCACTGAACTCATGCATGGGGGTCAAAACGGAGCAGTTACAGCATAATTCCTTGGTTTCATGTTTGTTCTTGTAATAGAACCTGACCTGACTTGTCTCAGTCACTACTGATAGCACTGAAGTGTCCAAAAATCTAACCTGGTCATTCTACTCAATTACCACTACCACTGACCTCTGTTGATCTGCAGTATAAAATACATGAGACTAACAAACCAAACAAACTGATTGTCCACTTGATGACAGCTGTTAGTGGTC